GGGCACGGGAGCAGGGCTGTCTCCCGCCAGCTCCCTGGACACCGGAGTGCCACGCTCTGGAGTGCCCTTCCGGTACAGAGACAGCAGAGAGCTGTTCATGTGGTTGGCGGGCTGTAGGGACAACAGCGAAAACAACCCTCAGAGCTGCAAGAGCTGGCCAACATCACTCACACCTCTACAAAGTCCACTCTTCATGAAGGAAGTAATATTATCATAAGAAAGAAGTACTCCTTCGCAGCTCATTACCGAAAAAGAACAACAATGCATTAATCAGATGTAACAAGTTCTTCATGGAACTGGCAAACAGGTGATTAAACAACCAGCAAAAAACACCAACAGATTCTAATTAAAGTACCGGGTGTTCAAGCTGATCATCTTCAGTATCAGTTGTGTCATCCGTGAAGCTCTTGTCCTCCCTGTTGGAGAATAAAATCAGCCTTTATACACGGCCCTGAAGCACAATCAGAAATCTCTTAACAAATTGGATTGAATTATCAGGCGATTTTGCTAAGAATACTTGCAGAGGAGAAATGCAGTAAAGTCTACAGCAGGAAGCTTTCAAAATTGATTCATTTAATTTGGAAAGCTCCTTTCAAGCCAGTTATTTCAAAGTGATGAAAAATGTCCTTAACAAATGAACTACACAAATCAGATCACTACCCAATCTTAAAATTCATAGGAAAGTCTTGGCATCATTATCAACAGAAGCCTACATTTGAACTTGAAAGTAGTTAATCAATGGATGAAAAGATGACATCATACCCATCGGCTTGCTGGCTGTGCCTGGCTCTCTTTGCCAGATGCTCGTTCTCTAGGGCTGTGATGTCTGTCTCATTACATATTGCAGCATACACTACAAAGACATGGAATCCCATTGTAGTTAATACAGATACGGAAACGTTAGCCTCAAGCTTGTGAAGGGCTGACCTCTGCTGCTCTGACGAAGAAATCACATCCCAATTCCAATCCCAAAATAGAAGAAGAACATATTTCATTTATTCCAGTCAGTGAGCAACTCTAGCCCTGGAGATTTTCACTTTTTAAATAAAAAAAGGTCATGATTGAGTGAAAGTATTGATTTTTAACCCCTTTTCTGAATTAAGGACTCAGTGTCATTTATAGGATATACAGTGTGTACAACTCTTGTTTCAGCTAGATTTTAAAATGTTCTCCTACAGCTTCCCAAACCACTTTTCCAAGGCCGTGATGCGCAGACGCGGGTGAAAGTGACCGTGTCAAACCCTCGGCGCTGCGTGGGACTGGCTCAAGTCACTGAAGTCAATGATTCAGAGAACAGCCTACACGCAGCGCCCACCACAGGTCTCACGCCAATTCCCAATCACGATACAAACTCTGGACAGATTCGGCAGGACGACTCCTTTCACTAAGGTGAGTGAAACGCTGCTTCAGTTTTGTCAATCGTGCTGCAAGCAAGCGCAGGCAGGAAGAGGCGCACACGCCGACAACCGGGACTCACCCTTCTCAATCTGGATCCGGAACGCGTTTCTTTTCCGCCGCCCATACTCTGTGCTAGAAAAGACGCAGAAAGAAGACAGACGTGACCCCGCGGCTCGGATGGCAGGAGCAGCCGACGGCGCAGGAGGAGAGCGGCGGTCTCACCTGTACATCCTCTGCAGCTCCGCCGCCGCGGCCGCCAGGTCAACATAGGGACTCCCGCGACTGCTCAAGTACTGACGGGCGGACAGGGGTGACAGAGCGTGGCGTTAGAAACGGACATTTACACTTACTGTTCTATTCAACAGCCATATTACACAGCATGTGAACTATCCTGTGACATTAGAACAGAAATATACTGACAGTAAACACGGCACGTATTCGAAGCACTTCCTTCTGCTGTAGTTTTTATAGTTTGGGATTAAATAGAATGTATCGTTATTTCTGTACAGTACGTGTGATTTTGCGAAGCTTCTTTTTTTTCGGATGAACGGCCAAGGTGAGAAAAACTACTCTGCTCATGCTCGTCAAACGAATCGCATTTTCACATGCTAATCAACATCCAGCCTCCAGCATGATCAGTTCCCAAAACCTGAAATCGCGTTTGCCTACACGAAGCTGGCCCTAAAATTGATTTAACTTTTTTTTTCTGCCGTATCGTACCTCCTTCACTCTCTGTTTGAGTCTGTTATCAACAAAATACCCCCCTCTGTTCTTCATTTTCCTCTCACGCCTTGCTCGGAGCACCGAGGAAACCCCTCTTTCACAAATTCTGATCCCGCAAGAGCTGTTTTCTCGGCTTCGGTGCTTCTGACAGCTATTTCGTCACGTTTTCGTAGCTTCCTTACGTCCCATTACTGCAGGAAAATGGAAAATACGGCTTCCAACCCTTCGTGCCTACACCATAAACACCCCTAAAACAGTTGTTAAACTGCACAGTTGATCTTTAAAAAGGCCGGTCGCTTCGGATACAGAGCAGCTCGCTTTCCTCGTGGAACTCGGCAATCTGTTGACCGCTGTCCAAAACGATGCCTGTTAGAAAATGTACGAATGGCAAATAAAGTTAAGTCAGTATCTTTTTTAATAATCAAATTTATATAATTTATATTTAATTTTCAATTTCTTACAGAGTTAGCTGAAATCTAATCTTTGTTTGGAAGATTTCTTAATATATTTCTATCCGGCATCCAGACAGAGAACCCTAACCACTAGGACCCAGTCTACTCGTTTGTGATTGGTCTATATTAACACGTCATTTCGAGCGAGGCGGGTGTTTGGTGTAATTATTTTTTTTAAGTAATAGAACAACGAGAAAATTGAGGCATCTATTGAAGCAATAACACAACTGTTACAAAAAAAAGATTGTACACGTAGTAATCCTACGTGTTTATGTAGTATTTTTGTTCATTGAAAATTAAATAGGTATATTTTAAAAACGGTACATAAACATAAAATAACTCCCCTTTAACATTTTGACAAGATTAGAAAGTTATGATGACTATCTGACAGATTAAAACCACTAAACAGGTGATGCAAACAAATAGACATCGCTTTAGGAATAAATCTGAGTGAAGAAGAGTAGAATTGTTTCGTTTACATAAATTAACTGGAAATAAGAGGAAACCAGGAGCAAAAACTAGTTATTTTACAAAATGGAGCTTTATGTCCTTTTTCAAGGTTAAGGAGAAGAAACAGTGAGAAAACCAATTACTTTTGAGTTGTTATGCATCACTAATATTAATTGTATTGAACACTGGAAAATGTAATCTGTAGTGTGGATTGCACAATACACAAGCAATTATAACTCTCAGTGACAGAGGTGGTTTTTCCAATAATAAGTGTTCAGCCTAATGTCATTACAGGAACCTGATGAAATGGAAACGAAAGTTTATCTCCACTACAGTACCAAAGAAAAAGATAAATTAGTTTTAACAACACTGATATTCACAGTTTAAAAAGCGAAATTACAACAGGTCACTTACATCCCCATTAATCTGTAAATCTTTAATACTACACCCAAAACAAGGGAGGACACATTTAAATTTACAGAGTACAGCTTTCCAGGAAAACAAGCAGGATAGATGGTATTGGTAATGGGACTATAGTTTATGCCAGAAAGAGCTGGCAATCAATGTGGTTTAAATTAAAACAAATTCTGAGGGATTAACATTTTCATGTTAGACCACCCCATACAGACAAGGACGCAAGTTTCTTCTGTATACTGAGGTATGGAGTTCTAATCCAAAGAGCATTAGAACTGTGAAGTCTGAACTGGGATTTTGTTTTGGACATGGGGTACATGACTCATCACTAACATACAGCTGACCTAACCACAAACACATCTGATGCAACCCAGGGGTTTGTAAAAGAAAAAGCAGAAAATCTTAGACTGGTCAAGTCTATCTTCTGATTCATATCCAACTGGTCTTGCATTTTACGTGAAGAAATGGGAAATTAAGTCAGCACTTCACAAAAAGCCAATATGTCAAAGTAGCTGCAGGAAAGCATCTCACAAGATTATACAAACAGTGCAGGACTTCAAGTCCTTCACAACGATACCGGCAACTAAATGCTGATTTATACACTCAATGTTACTCAAAAACTGCAAATATATTATAGTTTTAATATGATCAAATGAATGCATGTAATTACCCAAAATAAAACATTGAACGTAAACACAAAACTTTATGCTCAAATTTCTCTTTTCAGAAATACAAATGACTGTATAACAAGAATTTGCCTCTGTAATCCCTATACAGTACTTTTGGAGGGCACAGTCTACAAAACAATTAACAGTTCCAGATCTGAAAAAAAGTTTATTCAGCAATACTTAGATTTTCTTTTAAAGGCTAAAAAAACATACATAGAAAAAACAAATGCCTTAGGTCACATAAGGCAATATACGTTTTAGTTCTTCAACAGTGAGTTGTGTAATTCACAATCTAAAGCGTCTTATTTCCGTGAACGCTTGCTCTCGAGCAGTAACACGATCAGTCTGGTCCTCAGTGCTCGTATTTTGGTGCTGTAGTTCTGAAGAAACACAGCTGTCAACTTGTCCCGCAGACTTTTCAGGGAGGGAAGGGAGTTGCAGTCTGGTACATTCAACAAAGTGTGAAAGAACTCTGTCCACATTTCACTGTGGGGATTCCTTATTGCAAGAAAAAAAAAGGTCAAAATACAGAGATTTCCTTACATTACGAGTTGCATCTGTTGCTAACCTACAAAGTGCATTTAGGTGTCGAGTAAGGCTGACCACATACAGTTTAACAAAACAGGAACATTCAAAAACATTTCAGTATTTTTCCAGCTCTTGAAGCATTACGATATTACCAGAATTTCTGAGGATAAATTGCGACTTGAGTAATTTGGGGTATGTTCAGAAATGAATTGGGATTTGCAATCACTCAAAAGAAAAGGAAGACTGAGGCTGCAAATATGCATAAAAATTCAGTTTTATTGCAACAGTTTAATTACCTGTAGTTACAGATGGCATAAACAATAGAATACACTTACCTTTTAAAAACTGTATTTGGTTTCCAAACACCGTTTTCATTTTTCACTTTCATGTAGGTGCCAAAAATCATGCAGTACACTGTTCCAGCAATTCCAAAGTAATCAGTCTGAAACAATCACGTTTATAGAATTAGTGTTGTAGTAATTAGTGTAGTGCTATCATGAAGGTTTTAAACTTCTTTAGAAAACAAATTAGATGATCTTTGTCTTATTTATAAAACAGATACAGTTGACAGTGTTAAAATCTTACCTGATATGTCCATGGTCGACCCATCAGCATTTCAACACATTGAAACCCAGACGTCATGCATTTAGCCTTGAACACAGTTCCCTCTTTGAAAAGGGTCATGTCAATGCTCTGTCCAAAATCAATCAGCGACAGCCCATGCTCCAGGTTTTCTGGGTCAAAACACTCATTTTCAAGAAATCTGAATGAAAAATAAAGATGTAGATTTTAATCAAATAACTATCAAAGCATATATGACAACACAAGAAAACCAGATTGCCAGTTAGGATTAGGATTAATTTCTATGGTTGTCCTATACTGGCAGTACAAATTGCATCATGCAATTTTAGGACAAAAGTGATCAAATTACATTTTGGTTTACTACGTTTTAAGTTTGTTTGCATACTTATCCTCTAATGTTTATCTTTCACAAACTGAAATTCATAGACAGACAAGGTGGTATATTAGATTAGGCATAACAGTACAAGTCAGATACTGCCCGTGTCTAGAACCAAGCAGTGACACATGCGCACCTCTCCCCCAGCATGAAGTTGTCTGGTTTGATGTCTGCGTGTATCATGCCGATGCTGTGGAGCTGCTCCACCATGTGCAGGATGCAGATTGAAAGATAGATAACCAGAGGCTGGGGCATCACCTTCTCACTCAAATTCCTGTACAGGTTTACTGCATTCTGTCGAAAGAAGAGTGAAAGCACAAATCAACTTTCACATATTGCACACTTTAAATTACGGGATGTTTCTCTGCTTTGTTGTCCTTTGTCAACAGTACTATAAAGCACAATGCATCTCCTCAGGGTGTTTTTGACAAGCCTTGTCCTGAGGATGATTCCCCCATTTTTACACTGGAGAAGTTCTAATCTGGTCCTTAGCCCTGGCTGAAGCCTTCAATGTCTGTTTTGCCTACAAATTAGCCAGTCTGTAAACATAACTGACAAGGCTCTCTGACTCTTTGAAGTGACCTCAACGAAAGTCATAAAGAGGAGTTAAACTGTGATGGTTAACCTTTTCATCTGTATATTAATTCCATTTAAAGTATCAAGGCAATACAACTTTTCATTAAAAAGGACTTTTCCTACTGGGTATAGGAATTGTCTTTATGAGAGGCTCAGTTATACATACCAGCAAAGTTCCACAGCTGTACAATTCTCCCATTAAAATACTTCCATTCTGGAAGATGTGGGCTGAGCACAAGCTGTTGTAAAGATGGCGTACACTGGGCTGAAGTCGTTCATTCAGTTGACGGTCAATATAGAATTCCCAAGGACTGGTAGACTTGAGGACCTGTGAAAAGCAGAAATAAAGTTTATACAAACCTCACAAAGAGAAACATCTCAAGTCACTCTTCTCTGGACTGATTCCAGAGCAGCAGTATATCTTTAATAATGTGGTTATTATTAAATTAAGCCTCTAAATAAACTCATGCTACTGCACTGTACAGTTTAGTGCAACCTTTCAATTTCTAATTGTAGACTATAAACTATAGATCCTTTACACAGCACCGCATTGCTTGGAAACGGAGAAGTAACAAAAGCATTATGACCATTGTACCTTGAAGACCAGCTTCTTGGCCTTGCTCAGTCCAGACACTTGATAAACTGTGGCAAAGGCACCTTCGCCAAGCACACAGTCGATCTGGTAAGGGGCATCACCTAGACATCGAAATAGGAAATGACAGTTTTTATCACCTTGCACTGAGATCGAGAATGAAAGGTTACAAGAAACCGCTAGGACAAAAAATAAGCTGTTTTCTTACCAACAGTTACAGTCATTTTTGGTGAAATGCTGGGGGTATTTCTTTTCCAGGTGAAGAAGTTGGAAGAGGTGTGGAGGGGTGTGGGCAGATCGGACAGCAGACGTTTGATCAGGGTTTCATCCCAGGGATCTGGAACCACGTGTGCTGTGCAAGAAGATTTTGTATTAACATTATTTTTTGGGGGGTTTGATATTTTATTTTCCTTAAGCCCACATTCATCTTATTAAACTCCATTTTCTGTTAGATTCCAGTTTGATTGTTTTCTGGCATCACTTATCTAGAAGAAAACGTTATCAAACACAAACAGCCTCACAGGCCCACCGTATCTGCTGCAAAGCTACAGAAATCAATGATGTGGGTTCACCGAAATTCATTCCGGTCTATCAGTATGTCAGGAGGCACTGCGCTGTAGAAGAAGGAATTATTGGCCTTCGTGAATGAAGGCCCCTAGTACCTGGATCCCCTGAAGGGGGGTGGCTGAGCTGGTTCTCCCCCTCCTGCGGGACAGCAGGCTGGAGGGCTAGTTGCTTGTGCTCAGAGAGGGAGCTGACCAGCTTCGAGTGTCTGTCCTCCGGCCCCTCGGCTGTGATCCCGCTACTAGCGTTCACTGATCTCCTCCTGCTGCCGGCGGCACACTGAGACGGCAAGTCCTCCTCTGTACTCGGGCTCTGCTCTGTAATTGGGCTGCAAAACAGAATGTAAACTTTGTCCCTGCTGGAGAGCTTATCATGAGGGTGCGAAGGAGTCTACATTAAACAAGCAAGTAAAGGGTAATTCCTCACTGAAAAACAGAAGGAGAAATTGTGTTGGCTGTAGAGCCTTCTTTAATGTTTCTCCTTTCTACTCCTCAGCGTGGAATTAACCCTTAGTTGTTCCTATGCAGCCAGCTCAAGCTGACGCAGCTCCCCACTGGAAAATACATTAAATAAGAGTTGGATGTACTGTATTTTAACATTACATGATGAACATTAATTGGGGCTTCAGTTTATCTAACCATCTGATACTGTAGATCTTAAAATTGTTACTACAGAAAACATACCAGCCTCAGTTGAAAAAAATTCTTAACTGCGTCCGACTACCTTGAAACATTTTGTAAACTAGTCTTTCCAGTCAAGCATAACGGCCAGTTCTCAGATAAGACAGATGCATGCAAAAGTAAACAATTACCTGCTGCAATACATGTGCTATCATCACACACAGTTTTACCAACTGAAATCTGGAAACAGTGAGGTATTTAACTTGACTACCTTCTATTCTTTTTTTATAAATTTAGAATCAAGTATTTTAGTTTTACTCACCAATTTGGAATAACCTAGTGTGTGAATGGGGAAGTGCTGGCAAGAGTCCTCCAGCCCACCCACCTCTAAGCCACTTGTCTTTCAGCACAACACAGGCACCACTCTCCCGGGCTATATATATATACACACTTCCCTCTATAACCAGCTGGTGACGGGATCTGAAATACCTGAGCTTCCTGGTTTTGTGTAACTGGTAGAGATTTTCTTCAGAGGCATCAAGCCCTGTGTGAAGAGGATTTCATAACCATTACAAGATCACAAAGCACAAGGTACAGGTGCTGGAGGTAAGCCAGCACACAAAGCAAAGCTGATAAAGAGTAACACCCCTGAGATTACCCTGTGTGTCCTGGGTGTCCCATGGCAGGGACGCACGGCTGTGGAAGGGGGTGGAAGCGATCTGAGCCGACAAGGCGAAGTCCCTGGTGGTGTTAGGACAGGCTGCCAGGGTGTTGTTACAGCGCGCCGCCCACACAGTGTAGTCTTCCATTGCGGACTCCGCGACTGGGGCAGCACCCTGAACACCACATAAAACACAGCTATTCCACGATCCGCAAGGATAAACCTCTCACACAAACACACCAAACCTCCGTCAAGTAATGTCATTAATGATAAAATAATAAACTATTTTATATAGCGCCTTTAAAGGTGGCTTCTCAAAGTTCTACACAGTACACAGTATAATACACAGTAAGAGGAGACAGTAGATGGAGGTACTGAATACAGTGGGAGCAGAGGTGTGAATAACAGAACCAGTTCAGTAAAGACTTCGAGTCTGGATTTGAGGTTGTTTAGGAAAGGCGACTCTCTGATATCTTTGGAGAGAGTTCCAGAGTTTTGTGGCATAAAAGGAGAATGGACCAGGAGAACTCGAGGATTTTGAAGTCGACACGAAGCCTGACAGGAAGCCAGTGCAAGGACTGCAGGACAGGAGAATTGAGAACACTGAAAAACCCATGGCCTTACGTTTTGCGTTGAGGGGACTGTTTTCAATCCAGGATGTTCTCGCAAGCCTGCTGCTGAATTAGTCTTGTCCAGCTTCTGGGCGACACTGAGAATAACATGCATCAAACACGTTGACTGAAACATTCAAATGCAATACCTACAAGCAGAAAGGAAAACCTCAGGGAAAAAGATTTTACCACTTATTTTCTTGGTCACTGTCTTCTTGAAAGACAGAAAATGGAGCTGCTGCAGGTGCCACGTTAGGAGGCAGCACTTGTTGGGCCCGATAGTCACCTTTCAAATAAAGAAAATAAAGTGAATTTCTAGGATTTAACACAATATAACCAAATCAGTTTATATTATTAGGGATGAGACAATGTCTTTAAACACTTAAATTCATATCTATGCTCAGGACTATTTATGATTATTAAATCTCTTACATGCTGAATTACCAAATACAACAAAAAGCTGCCATTCAACATGGTGCCACTAGTTAATGATAAATTCAGCCTAAAAATATTAGGTCTTGCACTCTTACTGGTGTTTCTGCAAAAGGCTTCAAAGCTCTCATCTGTTTTGTCGTGTAATCCATCATCTGTCAGAGACAGAGCTGGTGCCTGGAACATGTCCATGATGACATCTACAGTCAAATAACGGAAAAAAAGGTCAGGACACAGCAACGAGAGCCGGCTGATGATCGAACAGCTCGCGCTCCGTGATTAACATCGCCCACTGAACAAATATATCGTCATCATGATTGGTGATGTGGTGTGCAATGAATCGATACCTCAGCCGAGCCGACAATCAGGAATTCCAACCTGGAAACACGCAAAGACCTCCGCGCAATCAAGGTCATTATCAAGGACTGGGCCTGGAATTTGTTAAACCTTTGACAGAACACAGGTCTTAAAAAGTTTTTTTATACAATTGTCTAACAAAGATGCAGTCAATCAGTGAAGGTGTAGCACACTGGAATTAATGTTGTCGAACTCCTTCACTCCTTCAGCATCACTGCTTTTTGATGCTTTAAATATATATCAATTGGCACATCATAATCCAGGTTATAGTGAAGAATGCAGGCAGCCTGTGTAGCGCAGCTTCTAACCAGCAGAAAGGCTCAGAGAAGTAACAGCACATAGGTGCTCACCCAGAGCCTCCTTGGTGTGAACAGTGGGCGATGGCTGCACTCTGGACGGCGTAGCCTGGATAAGCCCCAGGGACGTGTTGGGGGTGACATGGGGCACGGTCCCATTCCCACCCAGAGAAACTGAGAAAGAAACCAGAAAAGCACACATACGCTCATCACTCTGAGAAGTTACAAGTCCATAAACAAAAATCAGCCTACGGTTTGGGGTACAACTTACCATTTCCAGTTGCTTCTGTTCTTTCTACTTTGTCTTCTGTTTTAGACACATCCCTATTAAAAGGAAATGCTTTGGTCATACAGAGCTTTCGCTATGGGTGTGCAAGCTGTAAAGGCGAAAGAGCAGCCCTGGGTACTTACTGCTCTCTATAGCTCTGCTGCTGGAAGCTGGTGGGTCTGGGGCCTGCGGCAGGGTTCAGGTATGTCCTGTTCTCTCGACTCGGACAGCCACAGTCCTCATCCTGCAGGCCGGGGGGGTTCCGGGAGCCCATGGAGTCTGCGCTGAGAAAGCTGTGCCGAGTTCCCGCGGCAGGGACGGGGCGGCAGGGCAGGGACAGGGGGGGGCTGTCGTCTCGGGGCTCGGCGGCGCGCACTGGCCGAAGAGGGGCGCGCGAAGCTTCAGACAGAGAGGCTGCGAAGCGCTGCTGCAGCAGCTCAGCCGGCCTGCCCTGCCTGCCCTGCCTGTCGGACGCAGCGAGCCCTTCAGTCCCCACGCGGAAAGATCCGAGAAGCAGAGACGGCAAATGGGTGCTCTCAGGCCCTCGTGCGTTCTGGCCCTGCTCCGCCCATGTTAGCACGCTGTCTGGGAGCGGGGCACTGCCAGGCTGCCTGCAGGGCTGCTGGGCAAGCTCAGGTTCCAGGCTGGCCTTTTGCTGTTCTTCCCAAATAGCAGGGCCCTATAACGGAGCACATCCTGTCAGTACAGTACAGCAGGAACCACGGATGAGAACAAGTAACAACTGCAGACGCTGCTGTACATGCAAGCTAGCTCTTGCCTGCTGCTGGTGGCTGGTGCTCCCCAAACCCTGCGCCGAGCTGAGTCTGCTGTTCATCTCTCTCGCTGTCTCGCTCTCGATTTGAAACTGTGTACACTGAGGCTCTACTGTTTTCTTCCTTGCATGACATTCCTCTGCATTTTAAAAAAAACATTAGCACATTCAGCATTTACAAACTAAAACACAAACACCAGAAAAGCCAGCTTAGGTCTTACTGAAAAATACTTAGAAAAATAAATTTTTAAATGAGAAAGAGAAAGGGATAAAATCCTTCTATTCTGTTTAAGGTATTATTGTGGTTAGAGCTCTGTATTCACTAATTGGAAAATTGTAGATTCAATGCTCTATACTGCAAACACTATTATACCCTTGAATAAATACGGTGCTTGATAAGTGCTCTAGGCCTCCTACAGTAGTTGTCCTAATAGATACCACTGCTGGAGGTAACCCAAAAACACACTAACATCCCATTAGGGGTATGAGTCATCCTCTATTTCCTTAGTGCTACAGAATGTGGGATAGACTCTACCACGAGCTGATAGATTTCAACACAAGCTGATTGATCGAATATGACAATGACTATTTATACACTAATAATATGTATACACTACATTGTATTAAAAACATTTGAGAGCAATACATCCTCAACTCTGCATACAACACAGATGTTCTTCGACAACACTGAGGCCAAGCTCGAGCAATTACGCCGCAGTGATATTTTTTGGACCTGTAAACGTTAATAAATGAATGGCGATGCCTTAAAGCTATGTCTTATTTGTGGTATAGTGGAAAAGTAGGAAACGTCAGTGTTCATATCAAACTAACACAAAAGTAAACAATTCAATGGGAAGTTAAAACTATTAAATTGTCAATCACTCAAGGTACATCCACTGATGAAGAGCAGCCGTCCCCTCCTGCAGCCAGATTTTATAGCAGTGATGCCATCAGAGGGCTTGATGCCAGAGACAGCAAGGTTGCTCTCTAAGGATGTTAACAGAGACTTCTCTGTTCCAAGACTGATACAAAATTCAAATGGCAATATGTTGGTGAAAATGACAGTGTATCAAAATGATTTCCTTTATCACCTTTATCACCTTTATTTCCTTTATCCCAATCAAAAAATATTAAATAATGCAGACTAAATTCTTCTGCACCTCACTGAGGCTGCCTCAGAAGCTACTTTATAAACTAGTGGGGCTGCTGGCAAATCATGTCTCTGGCATCTCACCCTAATGGCTTTGATAGTGGGTGAGTCCCACCCTATACATAAAGTCCTTTGGCAAGAAAAGATCAGTATAAATGCGAGTAGTCATTATAATGAAAATTACTTCATGCAGAATCCCAGGTATGATTGTGGCTTTGAATTGTGGATTTGCACAACCTCCAATTCGACTTAAAATGATCTAAAATAAGTAAAAGGAGCTAAATGCACACACTTACCCAACTGTCTCTTCTCTTCCTGGAGCTTACATTTATAAAAGTACCTCCTTGCTCGTAACTCTTCAAAGGACAGCTCAGAGTCTCCACAGACAAGGTCGTTTTTGCAGTACATGGCGCACTCTTGAACACTTTTGCCTGCCCCCCGATTGCGTTGGTCTAAAGCCGTGTTTTCAGATTTTGAGATTCTGCAGAGAAAAACCAACGTGGATATGGCGTCAACCTCAAAGCCAGGAGAACCTGCCGGTGCATCCCTGACAAATCCGTGACCCGCCTGCAGCTCTGTCACAGTCAGGTCTTAACTAACAAGACAAGTCTTCAGACTCACATGTGCTCAGTTTTGTCTACCGGAAATGCGGCCTGGCCTTTATAGAGATCTTGGCATGCTTCAGGCTTGCAGTCCTGTTACAAGAAAAAAGATAGCCTGTTATTTTTATTGTATTTCAAGACATTATATCATAGATCACAAACAAAAGGAGGCCCATCAGTCTAACCACTGTTTGATAACTTGCAGCCTTAATCCCTTCGGAATATGTCCCATATGTTTTACTTGTTGCCCTAACACGTGTAACATTTCCTTTTTACATCATGGACCTGTTTGGGTTTTTTTTCCAGGCCAGGTCCAGTCTGTGAAATTACCAGTCTAAGAAACTGCAGTTTTTATTTCACAATACCTTGCTTTGAGAACAGGCGGCCAATCCTTTTGGAAGTCTCGGCTGTTCCATCTGATTGACCAACTGCAGGTTCTGAAGGGGGCGTGGCCCACCTGCCATTCACAAAAACAAACGTTGATTTTCTCAGCTCACTGCCGACAACGTGGCATCACAGGAGATGAACAGCTTTTTCGCCTTACCTTGTGCTTCTGTCCGTCTTTGCAGAACTCTAGCTTGGAACTTCCTACAACAAATTGAGAAGGAAATCCAATTATAATAACACCACACTGCACTAGAAGACAAGTGTCCTGATCCTCTTTCCTGTGGGTCGGAGATGGATGGACAGCAGCCTGACATCGTAAGCAACCCTCACACAAGATCTCTGGGAGAAGCTGAAGAGAAGATGGGCAGCATGATGGCGCAGCGATTAGCACTGCAACCTTGCAGCACTGGGGCTCTGGATTCAACTCTGGACACAGACCCTGTCTGTGTGGACTTTGAATGTTCTCTCCTGGTTCGCCTGCTTTTCTTTTGGGTGTTCCAGTTTCCCCCCACCGTTCAAAGACGTACGGGTAGGTTAACTGGCTTCAGGGAAAACCGGCCCTGGTGTGAGTGTCTGACTGCTCTGCGATTCACTGGTTCCACCCAGGCAGTATCCCATCTTGCACCCTTTGTCTGCCAGGATAATTTCCAGCTCCCCTGCGACCCTGAATTTAAAGAAAATGGATGAGGAGATAAGAGAAGATGGGTTACCCGTAGTAGTCCTGTAAAAGCTGTGCTGGCTCAGCCTTCATCTCCACTGCTCTCTGAAGCAGAGTGTCAGCCTGCTTGAGCTGCCCCTGTCTCTCGAGTTCCGACGCCCAGGACGTGTACAGATGAGCAGCCTTGGTTCCGATGCCATGGTCATACAAGTAATGGAGCAGTTGTAAAGGGTCTTTATAAAACCGTGACTGAAATGCAAGAATGAATTATCAGAATTAATGAGAAAAAAAAAGAAAGCATTTGTTCAGCAATCCATATCAACAACACGCGACCTGTCTCATCTTCTCAATGTTGCACAAGAACCAGTAACCAACACCGACCACAAGCTAGATTGTCACTCTATATCCATTATGGGGACATAATTCATTGATGGACAATTTAAACAGAGTCAACGCTCCCAGGTCAACTGCAACGAACTGAAAGCAACTGGAGTTCAACCAGTGGTTGGCACGCAGCGCCGGCCTAAACTTGCGCTCTACCGTAAGACCAACTGGCTCGAACGTGGCTGCTGAAATCGGCACCGTTCTAATCATGTTCTTAATTGTAATGAATCACTAATCGCTGCTGCCCTCTAGAGGTTACTGGAGCCGGGGGCGAACTCAATCCACCTCTTCACATGGTTTAAGCACCCCAGCAGCAGACTAGGCTGAACACCGGGTCCACATCAGAACACTCCCGCATATAGTGGAAATAATATCATCACTATGTAAAGAACTTATGGACCTGTCACTTGAAAATGATTGTAATATTTAACTAAATTACATCCCAGTCATACCACAATAACTCAAAATTCACAATGTATGAATACATGTGCTTATTAAAACATGTAATTGATTATTAAGGGTGTTTAATGTCTATATTTATTATTAATATTACAACTAAAGCATGTAGAGCTCCTGGTATGTCAGCGTATTTTCTGATATTTTGGGGGGTGAAGAGAACTGAAATTAAAGAAATACAGTACTAGTAAAATGGGGTGTAGGTCTCCAAAGCATTATGTGACATTTGGGTGTAAATAGATTTGCTGTATGTTTTATTGCGATAGGACTCAACTTCTGTTTCTCAGGGGAATGTAGAGATATTGGGGATTCTGGGGGGTACAGAGGGTAAGTTGTATAGGCAAATGTAAGGAAATGTTAAAGAAAAAACAATCATTGCCATCTTCTTAAAAGTGCTTATTTATGCCAGTTCTTCGGAACAGTGTCCCTCCTCTGTCCTGTGGCTGTGGTCCGATAAAAACGGTGCTGAAACAGCCGAGCGTGTCAAACAGCTTGGAGACGGAACAGGAGGCTCATCCTGGTCGATGGCAAGGCTGCCGCAGCGACAGTGCTGGTTCTGAATGGACTGGGACTCAACCAAGTGAGAGGGGAGCAAACCGCTGTCTTCAAATTCCAAAGGCTCACAAGGGCAGTGGACCAGCACTGAACTGAAATGAGCTGCAGAGATCTGCGACAGAAGTCTCTCAAGTGGACCTCTTTAGTTTTCACACATGCGTCAGCACCTTATATTAATGCCAATTCTTAAGAAATTAAATTGCTAACAGTACTGGGGCTTTTCAGAGGGAGGGGCCAACTTTTCTGCAAGCAATATGCAGTATGTGCTTTTGTCATTCATCACTCACGATACCTATAACGTACCTAACTCTAGGGACATTCAGTTAGATACTTACACGAGACAGGAAATGTAATAATTATTGTCTGCATATAGACATACTGTTGAGATTAATTGAAACGTTCCGATCCAGAGCTCAATGCAGCTCACGGGAATTAGAACAACAGTACTGAGCCCAAGTTCAGCTGCTCTCCAACTTTGTGCAGCATGTTTTTTTAGCTGCAATTGGGCTCAGAGCTAGAGATGATCTCCAAATGGTACCATATTATTTAACTAGTCCGCCATTTAGTAATAACGTCTCCGTGTCAAATCCGAAAATTCGGTGCAATTGACCCCTCAGGTGCTTTTGTTTTTAAGAGCAGACATCAGGGTAAAATGAACTGTGAAACAGAAAACAATAGTACTTACACATCTGATACAGCTCTTAACATATCTTATGTCATCGTGGTACCGTTTGTCATGAAAAAAATTCTCCACAAGACGGTTCAACACATGAGAAATGGTTCTCTCCTCCGAGGGTGCAGTATCGTCCAGGTGCGAAATGTACCTGCATTGTTTTCACAGGGGATTAAAATAATTGTATTGTATTTGCCATTCGCGTTTTTCAGCGCAACAAATAACTAGTAGCAATATCTGTCACTACTAAAAACCTTACCTCATCCACAGTTCAAGCGGGTCGTCTCCAGTGTAGCTCCTCACACTGGCCTCGAACTGCCTGCAAAAGTCAATAAACATTACGCAGCTACCAAGATCTGTTTTACTAATTGATCGCACTGATGCTTGTGTTTTAACTGGTTACTATTTACAGCGTTAGGAAGAGCAAGAGACCGGTATTCTATTGATTTAATAAGTGCACTACAAAAATGCACATTTTTAATCATGCTGAAACTGCAGCTGCAGATATACTCGAGATACACCCTGCTAACACATCGGTCTGCTACGCGGAGATAAACCGGTTTACAATACTTACTGAAGCGATGCACCGATATCCATTATACACACTTTAGCTGACTTAAACGAAAGTAAATACTAAACACATCCTCTGTGTATCCTTACCCCCCCTCCCTTTAATTCCCCATGCAATAACTTCAAACTTGGCGGACAGTCGTTACATTTCAAACTTTCTTCACAAGCCAATAAGATTGGATTGGACGTCACGACGGCACACCGCCAATCAGCGTGAACTAGCAGGCCGGAAACGGAAATGGGTTCGGCTGCCATAGAGAGTCCACGAGTTCCTGTAGTAAAATCCACTGCTACGCCATCTTACTGAGGTCTCTCTTTTCACAAAAAGCCTGTTTCCAGAGCTGGGATAGGGAAATAAATGGCACGGACAAAAGCAAGTGATAGGGCTTGGAGGGAGTCTTTCATTGTGCAAATCAGGACCCACCTTCCACTTGCACGGATTGATAATGGACAATCACCTGATTTAAGAAGTTCTTGTTTGATCATTTGTTAGAGTGTGTACATACTGTGAATTTTGTGTGTGTGTGTGTGTGTGAAATAAAGTTTATTTCGATAAGGGAACAGCCTCAAAGGAAACATTGCAAATGTAGTGTGAAAAAGCAGAAATGTCTAGAATGCAGCAGAATAAAACACAGTATTTTTCAGAGAAATCACAGACACCATGAATCACTTAAAAGTAAATCAAGAATATGTGTTTAAAAACCTAACTGAAATAAACAGGACATTTAAAACTAAACCCCCTAATCTAAACATTTGCACTCCCTGCCAAATGATACCTCACACAAGATTAGCCAGACAGATCTAGCAATAACCACGGAGGGGCGATTACAAAGCGAAGCCACCAGAGGGCAGAATGAGCTCGAGTTTCCCAGCGCAGCAGCTCAGCACTGGCAAATTGTAACGATCTGCAGGTGCAGGAGGGAGAGTCGGCCGGTCGGTAAGCTGTCATGCAGCTCTTTGACAGGCCTGCCAGCTCTCATTATGACAGCAGTAGCTGTTGTGTACCATGATAATACAGTATATACTGTATTAATACAGCTTCTGAATACAGTAGTACTGTATGTATTGAAAAAGTCAAGGTAAGGACTATTCAGTAAGACCGTGTACATCTTGTATTTGCAACTAAAAGCCAGCACTAGGCCTGATGTTTTCAGGGTCAGTACTAGCGCTGAGCTGACTCTCTGAGTGAAAAGGTTGCTCTGTGGCAGATGGAGTGCTCCCAGCTGCCAACTGACTGAAAAATCTCCAAGAGGCAAGACGTCAGGAAACAAGACAGTCTGAGCGAAACTGGAACTTGCTATGACAGCCCGCAAGAAGAAATCACCTATCAGGCCCAGTGTTGAGTCAGGCTGCGCTGCGCTGTCAGTCAGATCCACACAGTAACGGAGGAACTGTATAGAACAAGTAGAATAAGAATATAGAACCGGAGACTCCTGTTGAGCAGAGGTGCTTAAAGTAGAGAATTACTTTTTACTCCTTAACTGTATAATAGGAAAGATACTTCAAATGTTACAGTTTCATGGAAATATCTTGGTTATCGCAGCAGGGAATTTTTGGTTTCACAATGTCCAGCAGCACAAGGTTGTCCCAGAGTTCCTGGCAGTCAATGAACTGACACCTTTGTAGTGGTGGAGGGACATTTGTGTTTCATTGAACCGCTCAGCTGCGTCATCAAGAACCCAGGGCTCCTGGCCGGGCCAGGTCTGAGGTGAGGTTCCAGACAAAAAAAAAAGCAAACCCAAGACTTGAGAAGCTTTAAAAAAAAGTGCAAAAGAACCTGGACTGTAACGGAGATCTGAGATACACTCAATTCCTGGAGCCAGGCCTGGAGATGCCATTCAACAGGCAAGTTCTGCTGTCATTGAAACCAAGACCGGAAGACACTTCTTTACCAAAGGGGTTGTGGGAGTATGGAACAAGCTACCTACAGGAGCCAAGTGGGTGAAGCTGATATCCTGGTTTCTTTCAAGAAGCTGGATAAGATTCTTTTACCAACTACCAGCCACCTACCAAATGGGCTGAATTTGTAACCTCTCGTTTGTTCTTATGAATACCTGGACCACCTACGAACCCTCAATCATCTAAAACAGCTGCATGCAGCCATCCTGTGGGCCCAGAACCAGCAAGATGAAGGGTGAGGGTCAGGTACAATAACAGTGCGGCACTGAGAGGGATAGACTACAGCAAACTGGGCCTTGCCAAGGCAAACTGGCTCCTGGGACGTGGAGTGGCACTTCTCCTGCAGGAAAGGAGCCAGAGCTGCTGGAGGAGGTGGAAAGGTTCCAGACGATTATGATTGGTCTCACCTCAAAACAAACCTCTGCCTCAAAAGTCTGATCAACTGTGTGACTTTACTAGAACTGCCAAGAAACTTTCCAGAGATAAGAGATATGTACACAGGTAAGTGCTGCTGCTGTGGGTGGCCTGTTGGGACAGTGATTAGCATTGCTGCCTTGCAGCGCTGAGTCCCTGGGTTCAATTCTGGACCCAGAGTGCTCTCTCCTGGAGTTTGCATGTTCCATACTGTCCTGCCACTGTTGGGATGACCCCCCAAAACCAACTCACCATTTTGTCATTTCTAACATCACCTTCCTTGGGTTGGGTTCTCAACATACTTTCCAACATATGTGAATTTTGTTTTACTCAATTATGAATTGCCAGTTGTTTTTGTCAGACGCGCCCGATTAGGAATCAGGAACTCTGTGAGTTTTCCATGTCCGTGACCCTGGGACTGTGCAGGGGAGGAGAACAGAAGAAAGTGTGGGCCGACTCTCTGAGCCACTCATCTTCCAAGTGCCAGAGGCAGCACTGTGCCAGACAGGCGGTTCAGCACTGATGGGACGATAGGCGTGTCGCTGCAAACCAGCCCCTGGAAGGCTGCAGGGGGCGCTGTACCAGGGAGCTGACAGCTGAGCCACGTGGGAGGCCCCAAGGTAGAAAACTCCATCGCCCAGAACCTCAGTAATAGTTATAACTGTGAAACATGTTTTAATTAAATGTTGTATTTTTCCCCACACAGGAAAGGGATACCTGTAATGAAAAAATCACCCAGTGGAGATTTTACTTGCTTGCAGAATTCCCTTTCAGAGAGGTATGAGCTCCCTTCACTGGATTACTTAAATGTTGCTGCAAAATCACCAATAAGCACATGCACACACTAACTGTGAGGTTCATTTCCTATATACAAAGACAAAAACAGATTTTTAAGTTTTCTTTATTGCTCACCTGTCATTTAGTTACACTTTCCAGCATTTTCTCATAACTTATGTACACAAACTAGCCAACAAACGGTATCACGTCACTTCTTGTCCTTCTTGAGTAACAAAAAACGTAAGCAGGGCTGGTCAGCAGAAGGGTGCAGCATTAGCAGAAGACCTCCGGGTGCACAAGGTCATCTTCCCAGATGGCCATGGTTCTGTCACCAACTCATTCATACTTTTGCTGAACCAACCTTGTAAACTCATGCTTAAAGCAAATTTAAGAAAACTTCTTTCAAGTAAATTTCAAGTCAAACAACTCTATTGGTGGACTGCAAGAATTTCACTACACGGTAGCATGTTTCTGAGCCCCAGACCTGGTGAAATGTGCATGTAGTTTTGCAGACCGTTATAAAGTGTAGTGGTATTAAATACTCAGCCTCTGAACTTTGACTTTGACTAGATCCTTTTTTTTCAAATAATCCAGAGGATAAGGCTATTCAAATTCCAGCTTTAGTGACTACAACAGAGCTCATATTGTCTTTTCAGCTTGTGGGACACAATTAAATCATCTGAAGGTAATTCTTAGAAGCAGGATCCAGAGTGAAAAGAAATATGAGGAATAATTCTTCTCCCACATAAGGAACACCCTATTACAATACAAAAAAAAAAGATTGCATAGGTACTGTCACATCTGTTATATGATTAAAAAAAATCAAAAGCAACAACTGCCAGTGTGAGAAATAAAAATCATTAACAATGTGACTTGTTTTTTGTTGGCAACTATCCCTTTTTTTTTTTTGGCAAGGAAAATTTCAGGTTTCGGTTTTCTCTGACAAAATTCCTTTACCAGCACAAATTAAAAAGATTCAACCTCCTGCCAGGCTCTCACTGTCGCTGTGCAAACTGTAAAGGTTTAAGGCGTATTCCCCCCTTCCTCATCTCCGAACGTGTGAGCTCTGCTGCAATGACCGCGGGGCTGTCCTCAACTGGCGTAGTGCCGCCCCTGGCCGAAGCCCGCCTGATTATACTGATAGCCCCCCTGCTGGAAGTACTGCTCGAACTGCCCTCCCTGGCCGTAGTTCTGCGCTCCTCTCCCTCCCCAGCCTCCTCCTTGGCCTACACGACTGCCCCGGCCCCGGCCCCCTCGCCCTCCGCGCCCCCCCCTGTCCTGGTGCCCCCCCTCCTGGTATCGGCTGTCCTGCTGGTACGCGCCCACTCCACCTCCTTGGTAGCTGCCCCCGCCACCCTGGTATCCACTTCCTGGGTAACTCGGCGCCTGGAAGCCGCCATGAAAAGCTCCGCCGGAGTACCCCCCACTGCCACCCTGGTAGCCACCCCCGCCCTGGTAGTTGCCCTGGTACGCGCCGCCGCCGCCTCCTCCGTCTGACCAGCCTCCTTGTACTTTACCTCCTCTTCCACCCCCCCCACCCCTGCTGCCCCCCCGGTCGTAGCCTCCTCGCCCCCCTTGCGACGGCTGCTCGTAGCCCCCTCTGCCCCCTCCTCTGCCCCCGCCGCCCCCGTACCCCTGCCCGCCCCCGCCTCCTCCGTGCTGCTGCGGCCCGTCCTGTCTCTTCTGCCAGCTGGGCATCTCTGGGGGGGGCGGCTCAATCTCGTTGGGTCTCCCGCCTCGGTCGGGCACACGGCCCATCAGCACCTAGGAGACACAACCATGAAAATCTGCCTCTGCTCGATACCGAGGACACCTGCTAGCTGCATCAGGGCACCTCTTTCTTCCGCAGCGTTAGTGGAATAGCTTCACTTCACCTGCGGCTACATCACCCTGCAACTCACAACCAGCAGCCCTCTGAAGCTCAGCAGGAGTGAGCCTGGTCAGTACCCGGAGGGGAGACCTCCTGGGAAAGCTAAGGCTGCTGCTGGAGAAGTGTTAGTAGGGCCAGGAGGGGGCGCTCACCCTGTAGTCTGTGTGGGTCCTAATGCCCCAGTAAATTATGCTATACTGTAAAAAGGAGCCATCTTCGGATGTGATGCAGAGGTCCCGACTCTCTGCAGTCATTAAAAATCCCTGGGCATTTCTCCAAAAGAGTGGGGATGTTACCCTGGTGTCCTGGCCTTTACCAATCATGGCCTCCTAATAACCCCCCTCTCTGAACTAGCTCCATCACTCTGCTCTCCTCCCCACTGAGAGCTGGTGTGTGGGGAGCGTACCGGGGCACTCTGGCTGCCATCACATCATCCAGGTGGGGAACATTGTTGGCGGTGGAGGTTGTTGAGTGCAGTGTCAAAAAAAGCACTATAAGGGATTATTATTATTATTATTAAAAACTCCTTTTCTTCAATTTAAAAAAAGCCACCTTCTCTTTTTGGCACATACAATCAATCCTCCCCACCACCAGGGTAAAAGTATATTTGTTTTTCCGTGACTCCTTACTTTGTTAATGGCACAGGCAGTCCTCTCGCGGATATTCCCACTGCTCGTCCTTAGGATTTTGGACAGATCCTCCCGCGCAGCGAAGAGATGAGCTACAGAGACGGTGCTTTTCGCAGCGAGAGCTGCACGCTTTGGCTGGTACACTTTGGCCAACTTTTCAGTGTGAGCCTAAATTCCGATTTAAAAATAAAAAGTTTGTGGTTAAAGCCGAAGTAAAAATGACCATCCAGGATTCTGTCTCAACATACACACCTCGTTTACAGCTGCAATGCACAAGCGTAAGAGGATTGATGAAGGGTCACTGAGCAAAGAAAAACGACACATTTTCTTTGAGTCCTTGTCACTGTGTGAAAATTTAAAGCAAAATCTAAAGTAGCACAGGTTTATCTATAAGAAATACAGCACTGCAGAAAAGGTTCAGCTTCACTGAACATCTTACCTTGGCTCTTTCAGACCAACCAAATGACTGAACTGTTACATCAAGACGTTTCAACAACATCTTCCTCCGGACTTCATATTCATTTGCAAGGGCTTGGTTAATGGCTTCAACCTTCTCCTGCCAAAGGACACATCATGTGCTTTACATTTACATTGTGCTACAGCAAAGCTCAGCACTTTCCCTTACCAACACCATAGCCAGTACTTCCTGAGGGTGCAATATCATGCTAGCAAAATGAAAAACAAGACTAACTGCACTGGAGTCCTTCAGACCTACTAGCAAAGTAGTGTTTGCATTTTTGCATGTTCTCTTCTGTCTGTTAAGGTGCTAATGTAAATGACGGATATATATTAATCACAGTTCCCGTCAATGAAGTGAAATAGGGCCTGCCATAACAGAAAATAAGGAACGTTATATAAAACCCTTTGATTGTTTACAGTTACAAGAAAATACAAGTGTTTATAAACTGTTTTTGTGTCTGTTATACCCTTTTCTTGAGTTTTAAAATAACTATCTGCCTTACAACAGATTGCATCCTGCAATAACTCCTCCACCAGCAGTCAACACTTTCTGCAGTATTTACCCAGTGAACTGGTCCCAGCGTTTTCTTCATCAGGGGCTTTCCGACGTGATAAGGAGACACCTTGGACAAAGCTTCCTTCAGCTGTTGATCCAGACAAAGACACCTGCATAACTTTAAACTGGATGGACCCCCTTCATGACCAAAACTGCCATGCATGATGATAAGAACTTGGATTTGGGTTTTCAAGCAAACAAACACAAGAACTTACAAACATGGTCTAAGAACCAAGGTTTCAAAACTCAATACAGAACACTGTTTTTTTTATGGGAGAAGTCACACTAAAACTAATATATATCTCCTCTTTTTCCTAGTCCCATATTACAATTTAACCCCCTTAATTCCCCTCATTACACAGAACACTCTTGTGCTCTTTAGATGGTAGTTCTGGATAATAATGTGAATTATATGACCAGTTTGGAGCACAGCAGAAAATTAATGCACTGACCGTGTAACACCAGTCCGGGTTTTATGTCTGCCTGTCTCATGAGAATGTTCAATAGCTCAATTCTACTTAGAATCGGAGTCCTAATTACTAAGCAAAATGCCGAGCCATGGAAATCTGTGTGTTTTGAGTTCAGGTCTGGTGAGGGGTGCCTCTATACCAAGGAGAATCCAGCTGAGCTGTGTGTTGTACCTTCTTCTCGATGCCACTGAAGAACTGGAACATGGAGATGTTGGCAGGGGGCTTGGACATGCCCAGTCCCATGCAGATCCCCTTCAATTCCATGAAAACCTCACTGCCTCCTGCCTCTTGCACTTTCTTCTGCGGTCTATTGACGATGATCATTTTTGAGGCCTCCAGCTCAGAAATAAGGTAAGCTGAAGGGCATTAAAACATGCATTAATCTAAGAACACTAAACAGACTTTTTATATTTTCTTTTTCAACAGGAACGGTGGGGTCTTCAGTTACATCCTATCAACCTGTTCAGTAACACAAATGAGGAAAGAACGGATACTAAGTCACTGCTGAGACTTAAATAAATGTAAAAACTGAAAATTCCAGGGCAACCAATGAAACAGACAGCATTTCTCTATCTAGTGCAAGATTGTGCTAAAGTTGATTACAGGAACAGGCTACATTCGATTAGTATTTCTGCATCACTGTATTTGTGCACGCTTGTTTTCTGCACTATGCAGTGTTGAAACGTGGTGCCTCTGTCTTTGTCACTGCTTTCCAGTCTGATTTCTTAGTGCTTTGCTGTTATTAGCATTTCCGGGAAATCAAATGATTCACTTAAGAATGGACTACTGTCGTGCACATACTGATCAGCAGAAGGCAGTTGTTCTTGTTCATAAGCCGTTTGGTGACGTCTCCTGACGTGAGAACAGAATAGGGGCACATCATCTCGGACAGCAGGCCGCTGATCTCCAGCTGAAACCCTTCTGCTTCCCCGGGACCTGGGCAAACAAGAGGCAGCCTGCTTTGGAACACTACTTCTATTCAGATACGTCTCCTGCTCAGAATTTACTACAGAGAACAAGAGAGTTGGTTGCAGAATGTACTCTCGCTGAGCCGAAACACACAAGTAAAGCGAAAAGGCTTCTCTCTTACTGTTGGTGGCTTGGATGTTCTCCTCCAGTTTACAGTAGAGCTTGAGCTCGGTCACAATCCAAGCGCACACTTTAGTGAACTCGGGCGAGGCTGCCCCGCTGGACACTGCCTGGTCCAGCGCTCCGTCCTCCAGGAGAGGGCCCTTATAGCTGCCAAGAGCAAAGGGCTTTATCAACACACGCAGCGACGTCGGGGCTTTTCCAGACCCTTCAAACCGATTTCAACTTTGTTTTGAGTGCACAGGATGGAGAGTGACACAGTGGCGCTGCGGTTGGCACCGCTGGGGTTCTGGGGTCAATATCTGGGTGCTTTCTGCATGGATCTTATATGTTCTCCCTGGGTTTTCCGTGGGTTTACTCCGGGTGCTCTGGTTGGTTAACTGGCTTCTGGGAAAACGGCCCTGCTGTTGAGTATGTGTGTGTGTGCCTCCTGCGAAGGACTGACATCCTGTTTAGGGTGTATCCTGCCTTGTGCCCGCTGCTTGCTGGGATATACTCTGGCTCTCCCACGACCCTGAACTGGAAGCAGTGGTTAGAAAGTGGATGGATGGCGGGCAAGATGTCTGGCCTGTTACCACAACCCCAAGGTAAAATGTCATTACTTTATTTCTGAAGAAATGAAACGGCCATTTACAGTGGCTTCATTTATTCAGCAGGTTACTAAAGTTGTGATAGATACAGCTCACAGAGTCCTACAGGTACAATAATAAGAAGTCTTGGGTTCCATGCGCCGTGCTATTAATGCAGGGAAAATAAATGAGGTCTTCCCTAACGCAATTTATGAAATATTTGGTCTTTCACGTTCACGTTTTCACAGCAACACAATTAAAGTCATACAAAAACACAGGATAATACGGTGTTTTCATAACGGCAACGCCATAATTCTCTTAAATAACGATAACCCAGCAAGGAATGTCAGGTAAATGAAATTAAAGCCACGTCTTTAGTAATGTTTCTATAAAGCCCTAGTGGATAATAATGAACATTTCGAACAGCTGAAACTCCCTTTACCGACACGAAGCGCCAGGAGGGCAGCCGATTTGCGGAGTCTAACATTACCGGTGAAACATCCAAACAACAACAGTGACTCGATTCATTCTGATTCAAACACAACTCGTAACGCGTATTTGTGTTAAGAATAGAAACACTGCTGCCAGCACGCTGGTGACAGTCGCGCTGTGTCACACTCCTCACTGTGAGCAAACAGCCGCGGAATCCTGTCACGTTTGATCACATCACCAGTTTCACATACCCCAGGTCTTCTAACGCGTCCAGTATGTCGTTTTCCATTTTCCCCGACACGTTCCTCCGAATGATCAAAGGACAGAAATTAAAAAATCAAAGTAGACGTGCCTGCCCTCACTCGGGTGCTGGGTTGGCATGCCGGGGTCCTAACCCGACCTCTCAACTCGGCGAGGGCCGGCCAGCGCCGTGCCTGTGTCGCCAGTAAAAACGCTGCGTCTCACGTACGCCCACACCAATACGCAAAAACCCACATTTCGTTATTAACAAAATATGGTTAGAATCTTTCGAAGAGGTATGAGCGCGTATTGTTACTGCTGAGGCACCGAAGAGCATCATTTCGCGTCAGGGGTCTTCGCTTTGGCTGACGCAGCTGCGCCTGTGCGTTCTTGCAGCCCGGAGCCCGGCAGTATCTGCGCAGCTCCGCGTTCCTTACTGGCTACGTGCGACGTCACTCAGCTCTTTCTGCACACATCCTGCGCAGATTCTGACCTTTGCTTTAAGCTCGTGGTTCAAATGCGCAGCACAAGAGACCGCCTGCGACTTTGAATCTGTAGCCACGAAGTTAAGGTCAGGGTGTCCTTACTTAAATGCGTGATTTCATTTTTGTTATATACCTATGTAATTAACAACATATAAGGTTCCAAACCAAAGGAGGGAATCATGCTTGTTTGATACTTCAGCAGCTAAGCAAATCTGGGCTTTTCAACTGGTGAGGTACAGTACAAGTATGAAGAAATTTGTAGTGAGGTGAAACCTGACAAGTGTAGTCCATTTGTGCGATAATTTCAAAGACAAAGTAGTTCCTGGCAGCTGAGACCTGTGCAGGACCCTCTATTCCTTTGTACGTTAACTGTATTGTCATTGGAATGATCCAACCAAGTCTGGAGAGAATTGTTCTTGAACAGAAACAGCACAAGGTTTAACAAGCAGTTGACAACCGGTTCATCCAATTGAATGGGAAAAATAACTGCTGCACTTGGGAGGTGTAATTCAGAAGCATGTTTGTTGATTGATGAAATCCGTCACGTTTGATTCAACCGATGAAGCAGCTCTAGAGACAGAAGCAGTTTGAGTTGTAAGAAAAAAACTGTCAATCAGGCAGCCCTCTCGACTGATCTGTAACTTCTGTTAGAAAGCTAAATCAAGAGGAAGAGCTACGTTTGGGGTGAATTGGCTGAATATTTTTTAACCAGTGTTAGCTGCACACTTGTGGTGGTGGAGGGGAGTCCCCATTACCTGTAAAGCGCTTTGAGTGGACTGTCCAGAAAAGCGCTATATAAGTGTAAGCAATTATTATTATTATTATTAGGGGGGCGGCTAGTGTCATGAGCAGTGTTTCTCATAAACCATTAGAATCACAAAATACAGAAATCATAGAGCTCTGAGGTCTTAACCTTGGTCCGATTCTGCGTGTGTGCCACACTTATGAGCCATTCCTCTAATTGGAAGCTGGACAAGACATCACCAGACTTTGGCGTTCAGGGTTCATTTCTGTACTGGCTGGCAGTACTGAAGAAGGACTGATGGGAAGGATTTCAGAAGCAGGCAACTGCCAACTGTGTCGCAACACAACTATTGGAAAGGATACCGCTAGACGAAAACAGGGTTCAGAGTACCCTCACCATGGTAAAATACATGATTTAAGCTGCAAATACAAAGTCAAAGACATTCAAACAGGTACTCTTTTTGACTTGGGAAAAAGAGAATCTTGTGTTAATGCCTGCTGTCTACAAGAAAGGACTTGGACTCTGCATTCCTCATAATGGGAATAAAAACAACAACAACAGTAATGTCCATGCATATTATTTTATTGATTAACAGACAATGTCACAAAACTTTAAATCTGAAACAAAGAAAGCTGAAAAATCCTAACTTGACTAGTTCAGTATTATGAGGTCTGCAGATTTACTCATAATCATTGTCTTTATTGTTTACCCTCAATGGTTTAAAGGTTTGAAATTATAATAGTGATGAAAATACAAGTAAACACCACAATTTGACAAAGATCACCAACAGTTTTGTCTATAAACCTCTGCTTTCACTTTTTACCAGATGTGATTTTCTAAGTGTTCGGCATGCCTCAGTGTTGGCACAGGATACTTATTGACTTACAGAGTGGGAGATGCAGTGTAAGCAATGCCTTTCCTGGTACAGAAACAAGAAGTGGCAGTCCGGCAGAACCAGACTGATAAAGACACTGGTAAATACACACAAATAGTGGACAAGGTGGACAAGGAGAACTCCTGCAGGGGCTGAAAAAGAAAACAACATCTTTCTCTTTTTTTTTGTAGAAATATACACAAATTGAAATATGAAATAAATAACCTGCCCCTAAAATAAACTTTGGCCATAAACATTTTTTCCAACCACAGTTTTAAAAACAGGGCATTTGTTAAAAAGTTTGTTTTGTCCACATGGAGACTCAATTCTGAAGATACATCATTGACAGTTTTCTTTGCACGTGTTCTGGTTATCTTAGGCTAGAACCATTTGCCTTCTGGGAGATAAGTATTGTAATCTAGCTTTTGGGGAAACCACAGCACCCCCTTTTCAATCTTGCTTGATTTTTTATTTCTGTACACTAGGTGACATAGAAACAGAACTCCCATAATGCACTGGATATGACTAGGAGCTCCAGAAAACAATAAATAACCATAATGCTGCGGTCTCTAGCCTAAGGATATCTGGGGACATGTCCTAAAGTGTTGAGATACTCTGTTTTTTGACTGTATTTAACTTTTTAGTCAGGCACTGCGTAATATCATGAGACAAGGGCTAAGACTTCATGAGGCTGATACTCACGAGTCTGATACTATGTAAGGATTTGAGATGACATCATTGCACTTTGACCTTTCGGATGGCTGGCAAGCAGAGCAAAAAGCTTTAACAAATGTGGCTTTAAATTTAGTGCCTTACTAAATCAATCCATTTATTTTTTTTATAATTTCTTGTAATTTAGGGTCACAGGAGAGCCAGAGCTTATCCCAGCAAACAGCAGACACAAGGAAGGATACACGCTTGACAGGACACCAGTCCATCACAGGGCAGACAAGCACAAACACGGATATCACATGCTCACACCAAGGCCAGTTTTCCCAGAAACCCAGAGGAAACCTGCATGAACATACCTGTACAAACTTCACACAGGTAGCCCCCCCAGTCAGGAATGGAGCCTAGGGGCCCAGCACTAATGCTAACCACTGTGCCACTGTGCCACCATGCTACCCAACTTTACTAAATCATTTTTTAAACTAACATTATTGTTAATTTTATGCAATTTATTGTGTGGGACTCCTCTGAAACAAAATCTATCAAATCAACATCTGAAATGATTTGCAGGGCTCCTGATGTTTCTTTCTGTATGGCTCATGTGCTTGACTGTGTAATTCTTATGGTCTTATGCTAAATTAACGGATTCCAAGTGTCTGTACCTTGTTTTGTCCTGTTTCTGTGTCGTATATTGATGAAAACACCTAGAACCTATTACTCATAGCAGAATTGCTATATTAGCTGAAGTATCAATTAACCAATTTATTTTTCACAAAATAATTGTTTAGAATGTAGGTTTTCTTGGATAAAGTACTGTAGTAATACCACTACTACTAATTATATTAACGTGCAGTTTACTAATTATCATTAGACAGTTACTCAAGTATTGATCAATTGCCAGGAAAAAAGCAAGTAATTCACAATCCTTCTGACTGCTTTTTCTAGTTGCAATACTCTGGAAAGTAAGGAGCTGAGTGACCACAGCATGATGGCACAGAAAACAGAATGTGCACACCAGCAGCAGAAAAGAGATGCATTGTATTTAGTAAATTCTACAGTAGGATACCTGTGCAAGCCCACTTTGCTGTGTTGGGTCAAGGTGTGTATTACCAACATTGTGCAAATTTGTACATAGATTTTGATTTGCGAGAACAGTAGAAAGTGGTTTTGCTCAGGATTTACTTTTCTGTTTACGCCAGGGGAACATAGCAGCAATGAGGAGAAACATCTGCTCTTTTTGCTCACATGGCTTGGTCACAGCATGTCGGAAAATGAAGTCGACACAGGTCAAGTTACAGTCACTCAGCGGCACAGCCAGACCAAACTCTGGCCTGGTGTTTGAGCTGCTTTAGAGAGAAAGAGCCAAGAGGCTTCTCTGTTCTCTAAAGGTAACATATCAATGTGTCTCTTCCCCCACAGTAAAGGCGTATTTGTTGAAAAGATTGTCAGTTGGCACTTTTACACCAGACAAATGCTGACAAACGCCCACTGCCCTGGTCACTACAAGGATTACTCCAGTTGAAAACTGGTGCAACTGAAATCAATTCAATCCCAAACATCACCATCCACCTCACATTCTCAACTGAAGGTGATCCTATTGCAGATCAAAATGGAACTGGGTTGCAACCTTCTGCAAATCCAAACAAAATGCAAACAATTCTGGATCATTTCTTGAAGTTTTAACACACTGGAGGAATTTGCATGCAGAAGGAGGTCCTGTTAATTTCCTCGTCTCAATGTTGAGTATTAAAATGCTGTCTTGCATGACCAAGAGGATGGGAAACTACAGCTCAAACCAAATAGCTGCAGTTCTTCTCAGACTCCACCTGTTACAAAATGTTGTGACAAACACTGCATGACTACAGGCTACTCATATGTCGTTTTTTGACTTCAGAAGGTCAAAAATGAAACAGGACCTCATGTTCCTCTCTGGGGGTTCCTAGCATTCAGGCCAGAGAGTGTAGATTCATAATAAACTGTTACATTACAAACAACATTTAACGATAAAGAATTTCACTGGTGTTCTTTAGATTGACAAAGGAGCTGAGATCTGGAATTTTATCAGAAATACTGAGGCATTAGCGAAGTACAATAAACTGATCTTAGCTCATAAATTACAATTTAACTCTTCATTTTGTATTCAAAACAATACTAACTGAATAATCTTCATAAACATTTGAACAACATAAATGACATAAATTTCAGGAGCTGTAAAAAAATAAAAAAACTTATTTTTCAAGTAGACCAGCTATTTTAATAATATTAACAATACAACTTGGGATGAGCCCCAAACTTTATAGAACATATGCGACTGTAGATCTACATCAAGATTGTCAGTGGAGAATACAGGAGCCTTTATCATGTAATCCCTTTGTTGGTGTGGGTGTTTCCTGATATCAAGAATATTTCTCAAACATGTATTGTAATTCCAGCTAATGATGAAGAAAAGTAAAATGGTTTGCTGTCATAAGTACCCATTAATAAATGAAGATTCCTCTTTTAAATGGTCTATTTAAAATGTTGAGATGTTTCAAAAAGCATCAGCCTTTCAGAAGGCATTGGCCTTCTGTATTCAACTGGGTGGTATCCACTGTCCACTGGCAGTTTTCAACCTTACCCGGTCTCTCTGCAGACATAACCTGCCAGTGCCCCATTACTTCAGTTTTAACAGAGTTTCTTGTGTCTAAAAGCAGTTGCTCACACAAACTGCTTCACAGTGTGGGCTATCTGACTAACACACCAAGATGGGTCTACACGTATTTATGAGCCATCTTGGTGGGGAGAGGATAGGCTTTCATGTTCCCAGATTCAGGTAACAATCAGCCTGTGCTGCTCAGCTCTGCATGAGAGACGTCCTTCACCAGGAGCTGTGGATGCCTCGTTACAGGTCTCGCACACCCCTCCAGCACCTGGCTGTGCTTCTAGAATGTTCTCTTCCACAGCCAGCTGACAAGGCCCGGCTGACTTCACAGAGTCTTTCAACAGCCAGGGGGCCACATTTAGCTTTCCACTCTCAGGTAACAGTTATTCCCCTATCTGTCTATGTTTCAATTAAAAACACAGCCTATAAACAACCCCAATCAGGTGTTTCTAGGGTCTGCATCCCGTCTGAGATCTGTGCTGAGTCTGCCCTCTACCAGAATGTTCCCGCTTTTAGGAGATAAAATCTTTTCAAATTTGAAAAAAAAAGAACAAGTTTTTAGAAAACCTCCCTTTCAACAGTCTGAAAAAAAATAGATCTTTCCTAGAGGCAAACATGCGTAATTAGCCATAATCTTCAAAAGTAGTCCAAACTGAAACTCTTTTTCCATTTTTTGAACTATTCCTACCTCGGTCAAGCCTGACTTGATAAACAGACACTGAAGCCATACTCACTGTTAGTGCTGCGCTACAGATGTGGAGTATATACTATTCTGTCCTTTCTGTATAGACATGAATCCACTTTCTTTCTGTGTCTCACATACATTTGTCCTCCTCTCTGTATACTATTGCCATCTTACCTGCATTCTCTACATTTTCTCTCATTTGTTTTTCATCTCTTGTCTCTTTAGCCTCATCATAAAGAAATAAGGTTCACTTTCCACTGGTACCAGTAACAGGTGAACCTCGTGTACTGTATTCTGGCCAGGATGCAGAAGATTTCATTCACTGGCTTCTTGTTCAGTCAATAAAAACGCAGTACAGCCCGTAGCCACCCACTGGAGAAGATACCGAAACTCAGTCTGAGCAACTGGGGTACCAGTTTCTGTCCGGGCAGGTTGGAAAGGACAGGGAAGAAGAGTCAGGAGGAGGGAAGGCTGTGTGGAACGGGATTTGCTGAGTACATCTACATAAACAAGACCATGGGGTGGGCTGAGGGGAGACAGACCGACAGCCGTCTGTAGCGTGGGGCCTCAGCCCACCTGAGGAAGTGCCCCATTCCCCTTCGTCAGAATTTGGCACTGCCCCTAGGCCACGCCAACTGCCCCGCCACACTTCGTGAGGTTCCACATACGCCGATCCTGCTGGAGCGCGGGGGCCCGCTTCTGGTCGAGCCGGGGCTATTCCAGTTCAGCGAGCCAGGGCTTCAGGCAGCCCAGCACGTCTCCCATGATCCTCCGGGGCCGGGGGCGGGGGGGCCTCTGCAGGCTCACGGGCGCGTCCGACCTGGCAGGAAGTCAGCTGTCCTGTCGACAGAGCGCAGCGGCAAAGCAGATTTCATGAGCAAGCACATTCCTTCAGAAATCTCGGACAGGGAGTGAACACAAGGGGGCTGTATCGGTCAGGACAAAGGCTTTCAATTTTCCCCTGTTTTTGTCAGATATATGTCAGATGTAAGCTGTACACGAGCGACGTGGTGGCACAGTGACGGGCAGTGACGGGGCCCTGGGTTCAATTCCGATCCAGGGTGCCTTCTGAGTGGATATTGTACATGCCCGTTCTCATGGGTCTCCTCCCGCAGTCCAAACGCCTCCTGGCAGGTTAACCCCAGGGAAATTCCAGGGCCCTGGTGTGAGTGTGTGCACGTTTGTATCCATGTCTGCCTGCTCTGTGGTGGACTGGTGTCCCACCCAGGGTGTGTCCTGCCTTGTGCCTGTTGCGTGCTAGGACGGGCTCTGGCTCCGTCGTGACCCTGAGTTTCATGAAGCAGTTAGAACGTGGATGGAGGGAGGGATATGTGAAGACTGACACATGGGCCAAATTTGAGAAATCTGTGATTACCCAAAATTCCTAAAGGGAGACTTCAGTGCTAAAATGTATTTTATATAGAATGTAATCTGTTTTAAGTTGAAGTTTAAAATATGTTAAGATGTGGGGATCTCATTGTCAGGAGTGATCTCATTGTCCACTTGAAGGTAGCGAACAAATATTATTATTCCCCTTTAGATTCCTTATTTCAGCAACTCTTTGTTTTTCAAATACTTATTTTTCTTCAGGAATTTTCCTTATGTACTGTCAATTCAAGTTATATCACATTCATACCCTTTGTTCCCTCTGTCCAGGTTTTTCCCTAGCTGTTGAAACAGGAGGCAGCCTGTGGCATTATGTCCTAACATCACAGCTGCACCCGAGAGTTTCCAAACCCGACTGGTGTCACAAGGCAACCCTTACATAAGGCTGAAAGTACATCTTTAGCCAGCCTTGAGTTTAGGATGAATACGGCTTGGGATCAACAGAGTAACAGTAGTAGTTACTCTGAGACCTTGACGACACCGTCACCATGGTTATTAAAATCTGGATAACCAGGATTCTTTTCACCGGCCTTGAAGTAAGTTTGCTGTTCATTTCAGTTCCCAGTAAAGCTAATCTCTACTTTGATATGCACCTGTGAGGTGTACACTCCTGGAAAATTCAACCTTGAGGCCTAGATTTAGAACACAACATGTAAATCGCTGTAAAAAGAGCCTTTTTTTATGAAAAGATCTGAAGAGCAATGGTAATTTGAAAACCTTCCAGAAACACGTTTTTACTTTCTTTCCTTTAATATGATTTATTGCATTAGTGGGACATTTACCCACTAATGAAGTGAAGTTACAGTATGTTTTGCAAATCTATAAAATTCACATCTCTGGGCTAAATCCTGTTTTTCTTCCTAAGCATAATATTGTGCTCTAGCTTGAATGGGTAGCCTCCCACTCGGTATTTCTTTATGTATCAAATGAAAACGCCTTCACTAAATTACACTGAAGATGGTGTCCCTCCACACTGCCTTTGCTCATTTCCCTTGGAATAATTACACCCAAGAACTAAACAAGTCTGTCTTGACCCGCTTGGCTGAGGGCTCCTGGGACCCCTGTGCAGGGTGAGGGGTGACCAAGGGGCTGCTGCACAGGTGGAGATGGGCTGGAGGAGGGAGGCAACAGACAGATGCGAGGGAGGGAAGGGGATTCCTCATGGAGCAGGAGGAAACCAAGTCAGGAATGGTGATAAATTGCTGCCAGCTGAGGCTGACTGACCTGGGCTGTTGGTGCTGGCGTTAGAAACTCTGTCTGTAGCTCGGGAATGCGAGTAGCTCACTGTTTGTCAGCCCCTCCAGAGGAGCAGTGCTGGGAAGGGCTCTCGCCCCCCACCCAGCGGGCGATCCCGTACCTCGTCGGCGTCCGGCCCGTCCTCGCCCGTGCCCAGCCCGTTCCGCTCCTCGGCGCCGGCCGGCCCCGGCTTGTCGTTCTCCCAGCGCGCGAAGCCCTTGCCCTTGGATCCCCTGCCGTGGAGCCTGTATCTCATCTTGGGGAAGGTGTGCGAGCCGCCGTCGCCCGCGCCCCAGCCGTGCTCGTGCCACAGCGGCTCCGTCTGCGTGGCCTGGCTGGCGGTGGCCCGCTGCAGCCGCACGGAGATCTTGCGGGCCGAGCCGGTCACCAGGGTGATGGACCGGCCGTCCAGGTCCGGGCAGGCGGGCGCGACGCGGGGAAACTCGAACACCTCGTCCTGAGCTGCGGAGAGGACAGGGCTGCTCCAGAGCGCTCTCTAGAGAGACGGCGGCTCTCTGACGGCGGCAAAACGGGAGGATTGCGGTCTGAATCTACCGCGAGACACTCGCGATGCCCTCGCCAACAACACAAGAATGACGAGAATCGACCTACAGGTAACTGCTGGAATAAAGGAAACACCAACATAAAGTGTCTTCACAGGGCGCTGGGCCCCACAAGCCACCCGGACGGCGTCAAACGCGCCCTGGCAGAGGTTGTGCAAGCGTCGGGAACACTGCTGGAGGGACGCACCACTGTCCTTCCACGGGAAATTCCAGCATTTGGAGTTTTGTCGATGGCGGTGAAAACCGCTGCCTCAGGCGCCGCTCCAGAATCTCCCATAAGTGCTCAGCTGGGTTGAGATCTGGTGACTGGTTAACGGCCGTGGCACATGGTTCACATCGCTTTCGTGCTCATCAAACCCATCAGTGAGCTCTCACGCCTCGTCATCCTGGAAGATTCCATAGACTCGTCCGCTTGCGGAGAACAGGGCGAAGGATCGCTCATCCAACCCTGTGACTTTTCTCCACGACTCAGTGTTTTTTGGCCCAGAAGTGCGTTTTTAGCTATAATATGGGGTTTATGCATTGCAACCTGACCATAGTATCCCTCCCTGTCAAGTTCTCGGCTGGCTGCACTTGACGAAACTGCCCGTGCACGCCCAGGATTGATACGTGCAGTCAGCAGATTCAGAATTGCTCGTCTGTTTTGCATCTCGGAACCAATGCACATATAACCAGGTGATGAGGTGTGGGCACAGTTGTTGGGAATAGCGCCTCACGCAGGCTGGTAGTTAGACTGTCACTACCAGCCTGCTGTGCGCCTGACTTGTACATATCTCTGGAAACCCTCCCAAATTTGTAGGTCAGACCCGTAAACCCGAAGTAATACGTTTTTTTAAAGGAATCGCAGATCAGAACCTCCTGCACACAAATTAACGGTGAAGCTGCCTGGGAGACTCGGGACTGTGACAATAGACGCCGTCAGGAAGTTGAACAGTGTGTTTATGGGACTTGTAGTTCACCAGTATGTCTGTGAGCAACTATAGCCAGCTCTCACACCCAGCTCCCCTTAAGACAGGGTTACACATGGACATCATGTCAAGGAGTATCCGCTTTCGTCCACAATCTTTCCCTCAGTCTCCCATGCCAGCATCATCTCAGCCACTGTTCCTCGTGAAACATCAGTCTTCCTCACTGAAGCTCCTGCGGAACGTGCCCCAGCAATCACTCTTCTCTCAAGGTCACTGAGATCTCTTCCTCTAGCCTGGGCAGCCAGAATAATGGGCACCTGGGCCTGCTGAGCATTTGTACACATGACCCTCAGCATGATGGGATGTTAATTGATATATTAACTGCTTTCAGCATACTTTGTATCCCTCATTTTCTCAGGTGTTTCCTTTATTTCAGCAGTTACCTGCTTGTTTGTTTGCTAGTCCCTACACTGGTCTGCAGAGCACACCTAGTGGCATCAAAAGCAGTCAAATCACTTCAGTATGAATGAAGAAAATGTGAACAATAATGCTTATGAATACAACAGAATATTTTTGTAGTAGTTAGCCTCGGAAGTTTCTGCCTGGCATATGTTGTATACTGGGAGTGCTGTACACTGGGGAGTGCTGTACACTGGGAGTGCTGTACACTAGGGAGTGCTGTATTTTAGGAAGTGCTGTACACTAGGGAGTGCTGTATACTGGGAGTGCTGTATACTGAGAAGTGCTGTATTGGACACCATGTCTTACCAGTGCAAGAGGGCAACGCAGGACTACTGGGCAGGGAGCTGCAGGGCCCAGGAGACACACATCCCAGCGACGGCGCCCGGGGCAGCTTCCTGCAGGCCAGCACCAGCAGGTCCTTACACTGCTTGTGGCAGTTCACACCACAGTCTGCAACACACACAGCACAGGCACTGCCACCAGGCTCCCACAAGGGACCCAGTGCAAATCAAAAGAGCTCCACTGTCACTCTCAAATTCCACCTCATGCATATCCCATTTGTAAACATAAACACAATAACATTTCAACACAAAAGCATTAGGAAATACAGTACAGGGAATGACACAAATAAAAACGTGGATTTTTAACCAGTTAATATCTTAGAGTTCCTACAAAGGATCTTAGCATAGCAAACTGTCCTGTTCTATATGTAGAGTGCTTTTGTTTTCATCCGAATAGAAAGCAATATAAAATATCAGGAAATCAGTTCTTGTTATTCATCTTTCTGCTGTACGGTGCTGAACCACAGGGAGAGTGTCTCCGTTCATGGTTCCACACTGAGGTCTGATGGTTTTGTTATGAAGGACCGAATCAGCAGGGGGTAGACATACTCCCCTGTCCCCCGGCCAGCAATAGAGCTGTTTAAACACAAGGATGTGTGTTCTTCAGGAGAACTACTTTCAGAGCTATTGGAGTATCAGATACAGGGAGCGACTCCTGAACACACTGCACCCAGTTCTGCGTGGAGCTCGTCCGAGCAGGCACACGGGCACACGGGCACACGGGAACACGGGTACGCAGGCACACGGGCACATGGGCACGCAGGGACTGGCGCTTACCTTTGCACTTGTAGCCTTGTTTGATGATCCCCCAGAGCTGCAGGAGAGCATTCGGGGGGCAGGGCGGGAGGAGAGATAGGAGAGAGAAAGACAAAAGAATGTCAGAGGCTGGAGGAAGGAACGCCGGAAGGAAGGTGATGCGGAGAGGAGGGAGGAAGCGGCTCGGGTAGCCGTGTCACAAACAGGATACGGCTCCTCTCAACACCCTTCCGGAGCTCCGCCAGGGCCAGGGCCAGGGCTGGGAGGAGAGGGGAGGGGAGTGGGAGTGGGTCCACATTCCACTCACACCAGCGCTCACCCCCAGCCCTGCACACGCACACAGTTGCTGGCCCCTCGCTGCCCACACCGTATCAGCAGTGCAGCCAAGCCAGCAGAGAGCTGGGCCTCACAGCCACACTCAGATTACACAGAGACCAGCCTAGAGCCCAGAGCCTACTAACATCATCTCATTACATCACTTTCAACTGCTGCTTATCCAGTTCAGAGAAGCACTGGGCACAAGGCAGGGTACACTCTGGACATGATGCCAGTCCATCACAGGGCACACACAGACACAAACAGACACACACACTAACTCCAGGGCCAGTTTTTCCAGAAGCCAATTAACCTCCCAGTACGTCTTTGGACTGTGGGAGGAAACTGGACCACCTGGAGGAAACCCATGCAAAGATGTGGAGAACATACAAACTCCATGCAGACAGCACCCCAGGAATTGAACCCAGAGCCCTAGTGCATCGAGGCAGCAGTGCTGACCACTTTGCCACCATGCCTAAGCAGATCATGTAGAAATTAAATGCAGTCTAGGAAATACAGTTCTCATTGCTATATTGCAATGCTTCAGTTGACATAATGAGAATAGGACATTCTGTTGTAAATAGTATGGCTTTCACATTGATTAATGTGAATGTCAAAGCCGGCTGAAACAAACAAGCTGAACCGTGTCTCTTTTCCATTACTGAATTCTTTCACTTGCTGCGAGTTACCGAACTATACAGGACAGAAGGAGGTAGCTTATCAAGAAGGCTACGCACAAATCCAGCGCAGTGCTCACAGAAGGTGGGCTTGAGGTACGTCATCTCCTGGAAGTTGTGGGAAAAGCCGGGGCCCATCTTGCACTGCAGTAGGGAGTTCGCTCTCAGGAAATAGGCCATCATTTCGTCCTTACTGATCAGCCCGTCCCTGTCCGGACACAGGAGGGGATTAGACATTTCTTTATCCAGTAATGGCCAGATGCGAGCTTGAAATAAGTTCCCCAGGTGGCTTCTTCACAAATCTTCTTATTAAAAAGTCATAAACTACACATTTGTTTTGTTTACAACATTCGGAGAACATGCTAGCTGCACAGCTTGACAAGATGGAGGAAGGAAATCTGATGTAGCTCAATTCACTGGAAGACATAGGTTTACAATGCTTTTTTCATACTCATTGCTACTCCCTCTTTATTTCAGTTTAAAAGGACAACAATAGAGAAGTATGCTAAATTATTTTCATTAATGCTTTTAACATTAACCTGGAGCTTTGATATTCCCTGATTCATGAAACAGAGCAGGGTAGGACAACATTCACCTCCTCAGACCTGGGTCTCAAAGCTCATTCTTACTGCGGGTGACGCTTTTAAGACACTTTTTATATTTACAAAGTAAAAGATGGCACTGTTCATGTATTAACACTTCATGTTTTTTATAAACTGTTAGTGAGGGTGACAACAATCGGTTGTTAGCCCTGAAAACCACTTGCAGAACAGCTTACTCTGTTAGCAGTAACTTGTTAGTCCCCATGTTACTGTATGTTGTACAGTATTGAATGAACAGCATTCCTTATATTACATACAGTCCATTCCCAAACACCTTTACAGATTTTTAAACATAAAAATCTTAAGTACAAAGGAGCCTGGCAGACATGACCCATAATTAAACCAAAACAATTTAAAGACTAAACAGCTTCCATTAAAGCATCTATTTGTCTTTGCCTGGGGATAGATGACACACGAAATGTCTTTTCACATGATATCTTTCTTGTGACATACCCTAGTTGCCATCTTGTGTGTTATTTTTTTAAATAATGATTTTAATCATGCAGGGCCGGCCGAGACTCACTGGTCCTTGTCCAACACGCAGAAGGAGTCTAGGAAGGGGAAGTTGGCAGCTATGCTTTCAAAATCCTCCTGAGAGATGTACCCATCATGGTCATGGTCATAATTCCTAAACACCGACTTCACAACAGAAGAAGCAGAAATTACTCACACTGCCAGGTACTCCTCTAGATAAGACAGCAGTGACCTGGTCAATAACTAATAATGCTTTATTTTAAAAATAGAATATTAACTTAACATTTAATTATGCTTGATGTGGGTGTCAGTTACTAATGTTCCATCAGGCAAATCTGTCACTTTGTTAATACTGTACAGGAGTCACTTCGTAAGCATGAAGAATCAGAGCTGCAGTCAGTTTAACGTCATTATTTTTCAATCATACTTATTAAGTTTTGAACAACAGTTCTCGAGCATGTTCTTTTTCAAACTGACACAAACACAGCACACTGGAGTGCTCTCTCATCTGCAAACTGTCCTCCAATCAATGTTATTTCCCAGCTTTCTGTAGAGGAAACAGGTGTTTAGGAGCTGGTCAGGGCTCTGTGGAAGAGGATTTGTGGGGTAGTGCGTGCTCATGATGCAGAAACACGCGCTTGGGCAGTTTTCAGTGAAGTGCTTCTCTGATTGCAAATTGATTTGAAAGCCTCAACATATCCTCGTTCCATGACAGGCAACAGCGAGTGTATGTCATGGCTCCCTTCAGTAGCAAGTCTCCATTGACCCACAAAGACTCCCTGACCTTGCCAAGCTGTCTGCTTGATTAGAGCTTGGACTCATCATTAGATATTGATTGGTCACTAATGAATCACTAATTGATTAGAGCTTGGACTGCAATAATTAGAAGCTGCACAACCTGCTTCCACTGCAGAACAATCCCTGAGAACAAAAACGTCTGTGTCCTGCCCCTGGGGCACCGCGAAATCAGACCCTGGACGCAGGTCTTTTTATGTGTACGATATACACTTTTTATGTTTTGTGTCTTTTTATGTAGACGATAAACAATCATGATGTGAATTTCCCAATTCATTAGCAATATGAGATAGTTTTCTCCTGATTATTATTATTATTATTATATATTATTATCATCATCATCATTCACTCTTACACAGATTTTAAGACTAGAGGAAATTCTTGCTTCAGTTAGTCACTGACAGCCACATTAACTACATGGGATGGGTGTTTGTATCTTTTCTTGGTTTATTTTTATTTAAAGAAACCAAAATCCCAGTAATGCAGAAAAGGCTATATGTCGAAAGCATGGACTGAACAGACACAGACTTTCAGATTTCTTTCAGATTCATGAAATGCAGCCTAATGAGTTGCATTCAGAGGTTAATTAAACTGGGAATAAGTGAAATGATGGCGTAGGACTGGGCCATGAAATCAAGAACAGAGTGCTCACATCCACAACTTTCCGGATGTGCTTGTTGATGACAGTGGGGTCAGGTTTCGGGGTCACTCCGGACGCCCAGTCCAGGGGCACCATGGGCTTGTTTGGAGTGGTGGGAGAGGTAGGCTGTGGGGAAAGAGAAACACACAGCAGCTTGCAGGACGATCACACCTTTCCAAGTGAGTCAAAATGAAAACCGAATCATGCTCTCAGCCTTGTAATTCCTTCCAGTATAAGTTATTTGATCTCTTTTTGTATTGGTGATAATACAATGAACGACAAACAAGAGAACCCCCCCCAAGTGTAGGAAAAAATGTCTGACTTTTTCAGTAGCTATACTACCATGCAGCCTGATCTCCACAGATGGCTGCCCATCAGCAAGGCTGAGCCTGGTCACTACTTAGAACAGGAGACCTCTAAGGAAAAAGCTGAGTCAGCTATAGCACGATGATCAAAAACATTGTGGTGCTGTACGTGCTGTCCGTAGGAAGAGGTCCTACCTGCAGCCATTAAAGAGCTCATGGAACTTTTTGTAAGGGTGGGGATGCAGCCCTGATGTGCTGACTATAGTCCACTGCGGGTTTTATAAGTGAAGTTTACCCAGTTTTATCCCTCAGTTGAATTCCAGATATGGTATATTTCTTTTAATGACTTAATCTGAGTAGTTGAGCGGCTGGTTCTCATCACCAGAGATGTTGCTGCGTGTCAGTGCTGGTTGAGGGGGTGTGTAAAGTGGTTAGGATTTCTACTGATTAAAAAAATAATAATTTTAAATAAAATTAATATAATATCATTAATTTCCGTTTTGCCTTTTGCCCTTTTTTCAGATAGGCGTGCCATGTGTTTTTGAAGGTGTTGTCACATTATTTCCCAGAACAAACCTTGACAACACTTCGATACACTTCGCTGTGGGAGCATTTCTTTTAAATAAAGACAGCTCTCCTGCATACAGAACTTGTGATCGTATTGATAGCTTTTCCCTTAATACTTGTACCTGTCGCTTCCCCGGGTCTGTACCTAATACATGTCTCAATAGTGACAGGTCAGCCATTTCCCTGACAGAAATGCCTGGAAAGAAGCTCCATACGGCAGACACTCACCACAGATTTGGGGTTGCGGGGCTCCCGGAGCAGAGAGAGTTCGTAAATCTCATCTTCAGTGTAATAGAGATCTAGAGAAAGCTAAGGAGATTAAATGCACTGTAGAATCGCTGTCTATGCAGCAGTATTTGTTTACACTCGCTGTAGATGTAAACCCACTGGCCTCAAATCACTGTCAAAAATAAGTGAGTTTAGTCCATAGGTGCAGTTTTTTTTTTCAGAACTTCACATAATTCTGAAGCAGTACAAAATATAATCACTTTGGTTTAAACGACTGCAAGATTATCCATAAATATGTTCAATATAGGTAAGGAATAACATGGTCTCATTTATCAGATTGTGTAATAAATTCAAGAGTGTTTGAGTGAAATCTAGACTTCTGAATGTTTTATTAGGAACGGCAGCAATATGCACTTACAAATATTTAATCATTAATAATGACACGAAAGGACTTACTGTGAGCAGGTAGATTAAATCCATATTGGGTTCGACTTGTGCAGTGGCGTTCTGTAACGATACCAGCTCGACGAAAGTGACGTACAGCTGCTGCATTTTGACAATATTCACTTTGTTCTCCTCTATCCAGTCTGGGAAGACGACATGCACTGCTATCAGATCCTTCAGGTGAACCCCCAAGATGGGAATCTTAAAGTCTTCGCATTCTGCGAACGCCTTCCGATAGTTACAGTAATTGCCGTTGGAGGAGACCAGCTCTGTCATCTCGTTCCAAATCTGTGAAAGCAGCAAAATCAATAGAAATAGAGAGGAAGGAAGACTAGAGAAAGGGCAAAATTCAGAACAAACACAGTGGGCTAAGAAATCCCTGAGCAAGTGGGTGCAAAGAGCCAAGCGAAAACAGCCACCTCTCACATGACAGGGCTCAGTGCGCCGAGCGAGTTACAGAGGTGATGTCACCCTCCTCTGGATCTGGGGAGTGTACAGCTCTGCTGGGGCAGAGGCTCCAGTCCTTTGGTGCAGTGGAGTTATGTGGTTATGTAGGGTGAGGCTCTTGGAGGCAGAGACTCGCCGTGAAGATCAGTCGCCGAGCTTGCTGTGAAGCAGGAGGGAATTAGGCAAGCTGACGCAGAGCCCTGCCGCTGTAGAGAACCCAGTTTCATGGTGAGACGGGTCGACCGCCAGTCCAGAGAGCGGCACTCTGTGTGCGTCTCGAGCGGGACTGATTCCCAGCCGGACAGAGGGTGCTGCACTCCGCACCCACAGGGCCTCTGCTCCTGCTCCTCTATTCCCAGAGCACTCAAACTGCTCGCGTTGAGGAGTAGCTCCGCCTAAGGCAACTGTCAGGCTGCACGAATGTTTCGAACAATCAGAACGACAGTAACTATCCAGGAGTTTTTCTTAAACAAGACTAGGGAAGGGTGACGTGGTGGCGCAGCACTGGGGTCCTGGCTTCAGTTCCAGACCTGGGACACTGTCTGCGTGGAGTCTGTATGTTCTTCCCGTGTTCCAGTGGGTTTCCTCCCACAGCTCAAAGACATACTGGTAAGTACACTGGCCCTGGTGTGAGTGTATGTGTGTTTGTGTCTGTCTGTGCCCTGCGATGGACAGGCATCCCATCCAGGGTGTATCCTGCCTTGTACCCCCCTTGCCTGCTGGGAAAGGCTCCAGGACCCCTGGAGAAGTGGTTAGAAGATGGGTGGACGAATGGAAAACTAGGAGCTTGTGATAATCTAGATGTAGTCAAGTATAAATGACAGAACAGGAAAAACAAGAAAGAGGGGATCAGTATTTGACCACAGCACACAGCATGTGAGTGAAAATATGCATATTGACCTTTAAAAATAGTTTACACCAGTCACGTAAGGCAAAGGAATTCTTACTTTTCTAGCTTTCCATTTCCTGTTCATGCTACACTCTTTTTAAGTGTAATGAGTCCACAGACCCATCTTAACCACTGAAAGAGCAGCTGCCGTCTGCAACAATCCTGATATAGCGCACTACATTCCTGGAGTGAAAGTTTCTGAGACCCTTTGAATGATTTCTGTTCCCCAGAGCTGATCGGTATTAATTTAAGGAATAGACCAAGGCTCCTTGATATCCTGATTTTGGGCATCATGCTAGGTTAACAGGACAGAAAAGAAGTTAGAAAGAAGAGCAAGGAGTGAGAATTACTGGTGCCCATCTGGATTGCATGAAAACACTGGCACAGCGAATTTTTGAAAGATGTTCAAAAAGCTTTAAAAGAGCTGTCAGAGGTCCTCGGTTTCCCCACCTTTGTCACCTCAGGCGAGAGATGTGAATGAGTCTCCTTCAGCCGGGAAATGGAGCTGTGACTCAATCCGCCCACGACAGCCATCAGAGTGTTGAAGTTCTGGAGGTACAGGAGCTTCTGCATGGAGACCAGGAGAGAAACAGCTCATGACCTGGCCTGCAGAGCCCTGCTGTATTCTCTCAGCTCTCCACCTTCATGAAAGAGCACCGCTGAAGCACAAGAAATCCCAGTGCTTTTGGTATCAAAGGGGCATTTGAAGACAGCACAGCACCGAGACTTTTTTTTCAGATGAATGCTGTATACAAACTTCCAGCAGCCTTCTCCAAAAAAACTGGCTTAATTATTTTAAATGGAAGTTCAAACTGTAACATTGCTTATCTCAGTTGTGTTTAAGGTTATGCAATAATGAAAAATCATGGTATTATAATGAAACAATAACATACAAAGATCTGTTTTACCTTGATGAGTCTGGGATCTATGATACCATGATGAGTCTGGGATCTGTTGTACTATGATGATTCTGGGATCTGTTTTACCTTGATGAGTTTGGGATGTGTTTTACCTTGATGAGTCTGGGATCTGTTTTACCGTGGTGATTTGGGGAACTGTGCTACGCTAATGAAGCTGGTACCTGTGCTACATTGATGAATTTGGTGATGACCTCGGCGCGGTGCTGGGGCGTCAGTTTGCTGAGCACCATCAGTTGGACCCACTGGGAGACGCCATTAAAGAGAGCGATGGATCTCTCCAGGGTGGGGTTATCCATCAGACAGCCGTGGGTCACGTAGCTCTGATAATCTGTGAACTGCAGCAGCGGAGGCAACGTTACAGTGCAGAAACAGCTCACTGGGAAAGCATGCAATTGGTACGGTAGCTTCAAGGAAACAAACACGTCATTTAATTACATGGCAAAGTAGAAAAAATGAAATTTGTCACTCTTGGACAATAGGTGTATTTGTGTGGCTTAGATTGTGCAGAAAGTAAGAGGAACAACAGCTTGTGACACAATTGATTTGAATGGAATATGTCATGTGCTATATTTGCTTATGCAATACCTACAGCATTAAGCTCATCACTCCACTTCTTCCACATTACGATGGAGGAGGTTAAATGACTCACATGAAGATTTAACAGGCAAGGAAAAATATTCTGAGTCCAAGAATAATTAACATCCAAATCTGCCGCACTGTTCTCTCAAGAATATCATTTTCTAAAGCTCAGGTCCTCAGTGATTAGTATCTTAAGCCTGGCCAGTGACACGACTCTTCCACACCAGGACAGACATGGCTGGAGGTCTGCTTTCAAGAGGGGAAATGAGCTGAGTCAGCCTCACACCATGCTCTAAGACAGCCCGGTCTTGGGCCTGGGCTGCGGGTTCTACCCTGCCCACATGTGAAACTGGGACCAGCACGATCCCTCTTGGCACGGTGTGTTTCGAACGGCTGCCTTGCCACGCTGGGGCCCTGGCTTCCTGGTGAGCGGTCTGTGTGGAGTCTGCGTGTTCTCCCCGTGTGCGAGGGGGACATGCTGGTAGGCTGGCTGGCTTCTGGGAAGCCCTAGGTGCCAGTATGAGTGTGTCCGTGCGTGCCCTGCGATGGACTGGCATCCCGTCCAGGGTGTGCGCTGCCCTTGTGTCCTGTGCCGGCAGAGGTGGACTCCAGCTCCCCCGAGGCACCGTGTCGGATAAGGTCACCAGGAAACGGGTGGATGGGCGACTGCTCTGTCCGCGGCCTTCCCGCGCTTTTGCAGGCTCACCGAAATCCGTCGGAAAGACTTGTATTCCAGGAAGGTGAGGTGCTCCGCCAGCTCCATGGGCTCCAAGTGGTCGAAGAGCAGCGAGGCTTTGCCTTTTTTCGGCTGCTTTTTCCTCTGGGTCACCCGCCTCATCCAGTCATATGACGGGCTGCAACAACAAGGGGGATTTGTCGAGTTATATAGGAAGGCACTGTATGCTTCTTATTTCACTTTCCCAAGTTGGTTGTTATTTTTAACCATTGTTCTTTAAATACCAAACTTTCTTGACAAATGTCTTATTTTGCCGTTTGAGGGCATTTGGGGCCAAACCGCCCCCAAAAAAAGAACACAGTGCCACAATGGAGCTCTGATCATGAGCTGCTGTGATAATAAATACATAAAGAAGAGCTATTAGGCCACGTATCATTAAATACTGTAGCTGTTTTTCTGTGAAAAAGCAATTGGCAATTCTTAGTTGGAGGAAAGATGAAAAGATATTTACTGTATGATATTTGATTCTCTTTGCATTCCTGGCATGTGCAAGATTTATCTGTTGACAGCCAAGAGAAATACTGTAGAGGCTTCACTTTGGATGAGACCCTTTTCAATTCTGGCTTTTTAGAAATCAGAGAGCTTTTGCTGGTATTGCTGTTTTATACAGCAAAAATAATGCTGTATCACAGTCTGCTAAGTCAATTTTAATTTTGATTTACATGGACCAAAATTTGGAAAATTATATATACATAACTCTTAATTATGAGATGCTTTTTAACACAGAACATAAATGTCACCTTGATTAACAGGCCAATCAATTTCCCTTCTTACTTCATTTCACAAGTTAGTACTGTGATGCTGTGAACTTGAAACACATTCAGTAAAAATTGAGTTGCCCTGTGAACTCTGTTCAGGAATCGTGTTTGTTTTCAATGTTGTCCCAGGCACTCTGAGACTGAGGCGGTGGGTGGGCTCGTGTTCTCACATGGTGGAGATGTCGATCAGTTTGAAGTGCTCCTCACAGCCCAGCTGTGCAGCCACATCCCGGAACTCCTCTGTGAGGCGGATCAGGCCCAGATCAAGGTTAAACTCCGCAGGGAACTCCACGATCCAGTACCTGTCCGGGCAGGGTTAGAGTTAGGGTTACAGAGGTGTGCAGCACTCTCTTCAACATCCCAGGAAAAGCATGACATATCTGTGGCCATTTCTATTGCCAAAAAGATCAAACACACCTAATTAACTACAACATATTTAAAAGACATGAAAACGACACAAAATGCAAATTCATTATTGCTGTGCTTCACAAATAAACAGAAGAGTCAAATCCCCCTTTTTATAAATCTTTTTTTTAATTGTCAAGGCAATATCTCCTCCTGCACAGCTCCTGTAGTAAATTCACAATTTTTTTAAACTCAAACACCCGAGTTCACAGCCCTGAGGAGGCTCACACGTGAAATCGCTGTTGTTATAGTAATAACGTATCTCTGTTCAGAAGACATTCACTTCAAGAAGTGGTTCTTGTGGGGAGGAAGGAACCCAGAAAAACCTAGATCAGTAGTCGTATCCCCAAGTGGTTAAGCTGAGGGATCTGTGTAAAAGGTGAAATTACCTTGAGGGCACATCTGCCTTTGAGACAATTTGACTTCCAAAGATGTACAGCCGAGAGAAAAGAAGAGCCATTTCTACAGCAGGGTCTCCCAGCCCAGCCAAGCTCTCAGTTACACAACCCTCAATTCACTTAATTAACTGGATCAGGCTGGAATGTTTTCAGATTTTCAGAATATTCCAGGTTGCCTTTTAACTATGGCATTTCATAGGCTAGGTAAAATGTTTCTCTCCCAAATGTTTGAGAAGGACAAAAAAATCATCAAATATCCTAATGACACAACCTGTTAGTTTCATTAAGGCTTCAATTAATTAGGTAAATAGGTTCAGCTGGTGAAAATGATGTGAAGAAAATTCACATAACAGCTGAGTCACAGTTGCCTTCACCCCCCAAAAATTGAATAGGAGATATTTCCCTTTTCTGTCGCCTTTTCCCACAAGGTGATGTGATTCACATCGCACCCTGCTGGGAGGGAGAAAGTAGCGTAGCCTGCTTCTGTCCTGAGAAGAACAGAGCCTATACCAGGTACAGTACATCCTGTGTACACTAAAGCAGCTGATGGACTGGGAGTCCCAGAGCAGCAATGCAGATGCTTACCTCATGAAATAGCAGATTTTCAGTCTTGTTCTCTGGCAGTCTTCACCTTCACAGTCCCGGTACGTGTCACGTGTTAAGGAAAGTTCATTGCCTCAGTCTTTTTGCTTACAAAGACCAGCAGCTGAAAATCAGGAGCTGACAATTGTGTGTTTTACAGAAAGAGAGGGTTTCATGAGGTGTTCCATTAACACCTATCTGATATTTAAAAAGAAAGGTTGTAGGTGATTTAACTGCTTATCCATGCCATTAATTTATGTAATTAAGCTCAGAGGGGAATGATAAGTAAGATGCCCAGTGGCTCTCTGGGACTAAATTACCTCATCCCTGGTTTAACATCTCTAGCATTTCAATCTGAATGCCTGATCTTTCCCATTGTGTCAAAACTGAAACATTGTGGCAAAACTATCAACAATGTGCAATCTCTGGTCATGATCAGCAGAGACACGTTCCAAATGAGCTACGATTATTTTGAAAAAAAGTGTGTTCCAAGAAGATCTACCGAAGTATCCTGACAGGTCTGGGAAGGCTTTGACGGAGTAAGGCTTTTGAGTAAAAAATGAAAATTCTGCAATCAATGGCTGTCTGACTAAGAACCAATGCAGTCATGGCTGGAATAAAGAGATTGTGTAATATAGTAGCTTTGGTGAAGTGCTGGCTAATATTGCAGTTTCACAGCCCTAGCCTGAGGCACTTTCTGTGTGGAGCTAACATGATTACCCTATGTTTTTGGGTCCAGTTTTCTCCCACTCCCGAAGGGTGTGCTACCTACAGTAGGTCAATCAGTGTCTGTAAGCTGCCCTCATGTGTGTGCCCTGTGATAGACTAGGGTGGGGTCCAGCGCTGCTCTCTGTGCTTTCACGGTCCGGCTTGCTGTGACCCTTACCAGCAATAAGCAGCTTTGTGATAATGGACAGACAGAAAGTCGCATTGGTAGGTTTTTTTTAAAAGACAAGTACAATACTTCCTTTGTGCTGCATCACATGCAGGGCCTCCTCCTGTGAGAGGGCTGGGAGGCGCTGGTGCCCTTTAATAGAGAATAGGGCAGGGCCAGGAGGCCATGAGGCTCCCCGTGGAGAGACTCCAGGGAGCGACAGCAGAGAGGGCTGCCGTTTCCGGTTCAGGAACAGGGCATGCTGCCATGGAGGAACAGTGGGGTGTAGGTGTATTGAAAAAATAATAAGCCCGTGCTAACTGAGCTCCACAGCAGTGCCTTCATTTGGAGAGATGTAAATAAATGTAACTACCCTGCTGCCAATATATCTAATGTTTGCTAATGTTAGAATTTAGGTCTTGACTGAATGACGTCCAGGTAGCGGTGCCTCTACCTTGTGTGGTGTGTTAATTCAGGGGTTATCTTGGATATCTAGGACACTTTAGACTTAAGACTATAGATTTTTCTAAAATGAAAAACTGCTTAGAAATTCGTAACTCTGGCACAGCAGTGGAGGTTGGTAATAAACAGGGCATATAGAGTCCAAAAAACGCACCTTAGGGCCAAGGACCTGCATTTCAGCTCAGTGGCACTTGGAAGGATATATTAAAAGCAGCTTTCCAGCCAGCTCGGTCGATGTGACATACCAGCGGTGCATTAACAGCACAATCCGAGGCAAATGACTGCTCCCTAAATCCCCGTTGTCATCTGGAAAACACAAGATGCAGTCAGTCCTGACCCAGCGGGGCGCTCTCTTACTGTACCTGCGCCTGCACAATGACCGCCAGTAAAATCAGATCTGAGGTCTGGAGATGCACAAGCAAACAGCTGCAGCAGGTCTTTATCACAGGAAAAAGAATGAAGAAGGAATGAATGATGGCTACACTCCTTCGATTACTGAAATCTTCAGCTTTAAAGAAACACTGGAGGTGTGCACATGGCTGAATGATAAAGCAGACAGGGGCACTCACCAAATGCCTCAATGCAGGCATTTAACAGCTGGTCTAATGTAGCTGCTTTTCCCAGAACTGACGATCCCATGGTCAATGAGTGGCCTTCAGAGACTGGTTCATTTTTTCCGAGTGGAAGCGTGCATCTCCTCATGGAGGGGAGATTAATAGCACAAAGCAAGGTCTTGGCCAGCGCCTTTCAAGAGCAAACTGTGTGGAGAAACAGAAAAGTCTTGGTTTCTAGGGTCTGTTGTGAAAGGAGAGGACACACAAGTTTTAGAAGGCATGGGCTTTCATGACAAAGGTTCACAGAGAGACAGCCTTGTAAGGCCTGTAAGATCTTTCACCGAAATCTGAAATGCTGTATGGTTGTTTGAAGAGCTCAAATTTCATATTTCTCTAGCCAAGTAGTAAAAAAACATTCATGTTTTTAAATTAAGTTAATTGTTTAAATTTGACTTCTTAAAATGTATACACAATGAATTGTAATTTTGGAATGGCCAATTATTGTATAATTTACTAGTAAATTAAGCCTCCTTTACAATTTTTTCTTCAAGTACTCAAAAAGATTTTGCTGATTTGGAATCAGTCCAAAGAAGAGCAACAAGATGCATTCTGGGGCTCAAGGGAGTGTCCTACGCTGAGTGAAAGAACTGAACCTTTTTAGTCTTGACCAGAGAAAATTACAAGGAGACCTGACACGTATTTAAAATCCCTGATAAATTCAATGCAAAAGACATCTTCAAAATGAACACTGAAACACAAACCAGAGGATACAAGTGTAAACTACATGGAAGTGCACTTAAAAGCACAAACAGGAGGCACTTCTTTACTCAAAGGGTTGTGTGAATGTGGAAAAAAAAGATTTCCAGCCATTTTGTTAAAGCCAATATCCAGGCTTCTTTCAAGAAAGAGCTGGATGAGATCTAAGGATCAATTAACTACTATGCTAGTATCATCCATACAGCCCCCTCTCATTTGTGACTTTTCCTATTTAGTTTCCTACTTAGTACCCATAGTTAATTTTGCTGTTCAAGAGTAATTTCTTTTCCTTTTGAAATATGCAGATTTTCTTTTTTTTTTGTCAAAAGCTCTGCTCCTTTTTTCTTTGAAAACCAACTTTGATTTGAAGCTGTGATTTGAAACATTGCACTTCTAGGTTCTATAGGCCGAGGAGTGCAATGAAGGTAAGAGAGGCAGTTCATTTGGGATTGCTACCGTCTGGGTGATTTTAAACTCCATCATGTTGGTGGAAAAGGGGGCTTGTGAAGTGAGGCAGCGGTCAAGTGGAAATGTCCCTTGTTTCTGTGGAGGCAAGCTGCCACCCACGACACCCCACATCTCCTAAAGAACAAAATACCGATCCCTTATTTTCAAGACTTCTATTCTAATCTTTTGTCTTCATAGTAAAATGGAGGCATTCATTGAATGAATACTGTGTAATATATTTAAAAAGCCATTTTTGGTGAAGAGAAAACAGTTGAGATGTTGCAAACTACGGTGAGTTCCACTTAATTTACCGGGTCAGTTATATATTACACCCTTCCACACCAAACCTTCACAGAGCTCAGGGCTTTACCAAGCCGAAAATACAGCATTAAATGCATGTAAAATGTTTAGCTTAGTGCAATTCCGAAATAAGTTCTGCTGTTGTCTTTTATTAAGCTGACAAAGACGAGACTCTTTTAACTGCATTGACCGCATGTCTGCCTTGGGACCCGATGACCTGGATGCGATTCCCTCTAACTGGCTAAAACACAAAGTTAAGTGCACTGAGGTATCTTTCCAGCCTTTCCTCATGGGGGCACAGCAATGCACCATTACAGTGAAGTCAAGGGAGGTGACAGACACATAAACAGACTTCAGAGTCAGACAATTGCATGCAGCTGGCATGATCCCTATTTATTAATATGACTGACAAAAGCTGCCATTGTAACTGTCAATAAGGAAAAAGCAGCCTGTTTCTTTTTAGGCTCCCACTCTGGGATGCTAACCCAGAAAAGGTAATTTCATTATACAGTACACCTATTCAGTTGTGCTAACACAGCCATTTCAAAGAACTGATTCCACCCCTCTGCATGCGCTTCTCTTACAACGCATGACGGAATTATGGAATGTTGCATCTCATTACCAAGCAACCGAAAGCTTCCTATCCTTTCTCACTGCGTTTTGATCTCATCCAAGTAGTTCTGCCTAATGTGGGTCTATTGAAAGAGAAGGTAACCTAAGTGCTTCCATGCAGTCCTCATTTTGTTAAAAGCCCTTTTCATTGTCAAAAGCCCTAAGGCCTATTGTCTGAAAATAAGAGAACTGTGGAGCAGCACCTCATGATCTACAATGAGCTGATCTATGATCTACAATGAGGCAGTGGAAATGTCTGTTCCAAGTTTATTATGGAGGATGAGAAATGAACCAGCCGTCTCCCAAAGGTACGAGTTCAACCTGTATTTTTCTTCCTATCTTTTTGTTAAATACCTAACCCAATTTGGAATCGCCATTTGTGTGTTCTTTATATTTTGGAAGAAGGCTACAGAAGCTGCAACTGCACACGGGGAAGAAGGAAGAAGGAAAAGCATCTTCCTTCTGATCCACTTCGAGTGGCTTCGAGCCGCTCATCTTTTCAGGTGTTACTGGGAAAACGTAGCCCCTGCGCCGGAGGGTCAGCACTGACTAAGGAGAGACGCATCCCTCACCGATGGCTCTGCACACCCGCAGCTGCTCGGTTGAGCTGGGCGAGGTGGGGTGGTCTCATTCCCGTTCGGGTCGTCTTGTATGTGTGAGCATCTTTACTGGTTGAGCCCCTGGAGCACTGTCTCATGACTAAAAAGCCAGAGTCCAGCAATGGAGCAGAACCATTCACCATTATGTACAACACTGCGCTAACCTTATCATTAGCTCTGAAGAACCAGTACTAACAGCTTTGTACTTTTGCAGATTTATCAGTTGGAAAATTTCTCCTAGCTAATGCCAGATGCTCTTTACCTTTGCATTGACTACACCTGCTGACAGAATGGAAAAATTGTTTATCTCAACTTCTCGAATATTCTCAAATATCTCAACATACATTTTTGTCTTCTTTCCTCAGTCTTCCATGTAATGCTGCTACTTGCTGCTGCTAAATCTGCTGCTAAATCTTCCGCCCATCACACCCGACTGAAGGCGACTGTGGAAGGGAGACATGGTGGTCTTGTCACACCTGTTGGTCCCCCAGTTTGCCAGTTCCATTTTCCACACCATGAGTTAAGCATTGCTGAGAGGAGTAATATTGTTCTCAGTGACAACACTGCACGTTCCCAGGTACCCAACAGTGTTGTCATTGAGACAGCACTGTTGCCCAGCAACTCCAGGATATCATTGCCAAGTCAAGTCCTCAATACCTGTCACGGTCGACACCCCCTCCTCCAGGGGGCACTCTAATATAGGCACTCTCACAGGGTCTTAAAATACTCTTTCCACGGGAGTCTCACCCGGCTCACCTCACCGCTACCAGTTACAATACCAGAGGCATCCAGCAGGGCTACTGTGCTGGGAGGAGGGCCTTTAGAATGGGAGACTTAGAAACCCGTCGCTGTACCCCCTTCTTACACAACTTCACAGGAAACACATCTTCACACACACTCCACCTGTCTCTGCACTGCAACCGCTCTGTTTATTTTATCAAATTAATATTTATATTACATTTATTTTATTTTTGTTTCCCATGATGTGGCAAATTACACGACATATACAGTAGGTCAAACCTCATGTATGAGAAAAAACAACCTGTTGTTCAGCTCCTTCGCCATAATTTAATCTGGATTTCTCTGAGGCTTTTGGACAAGACGGCATCCTTGCCATTCTCTTCACCCAGCAAAAAAAAAATGTTTTCAGGGCTGTAACAAAAAAGCACCCTGCCATTCCACGCCGCTCGACTCTAGAGTGAAGAGGGGTGAGAGTGAATGAAAGGCCTTCATCTTTCCCAAGGTATTATAATAAATCTAGAGCAAGATTTCCATAAATGTAATTACTTTCATCATCTTTCAATGGTCCTTCCACTGTACCTACATTTCTTTTATTCCAATTATATTTTTTCATGCCGGGTTAATAGCCTCCTAATTTGAGCAAGCTCTCCTCCCCATCAGTGCTATCCTCCAGCTGCACTGTCTAATGCAGCCAGATTCTTTCAAAGAATGTCCTTTGAAACAGCCAATCTTAATAATTATTGGTTATGTGCTTACTGTGTTATAAAACCAGTTTTATGATTTAGCACATGTTGTACAGTCTTACTGTGGCCAATTAAATGAATACAGACTTCAGTTTTGCTGGGAGGGTGATCAATACTCCTTTATATAACATTGTATGTGGAATGAACTACAGGGGTAGGTTTGATTCTGTCCATCTGGTGTTGTCACCCCAGAGGCAGGATCAGATGATGCTGAGGAGGACTGTTGAATGACAGGTTCTTCACCAATTTGCCCTAGGTAAACACTGGCATTTCATAGTGCAAGCGATCACATCACTCCTATCCTAGAGTCCTTGTACAGGCTTCCTATCAGGTTTTGTGTTGACTTCAAAATCCTCATATTCACATATTGTATAAGGCTCTGCATGGCTTGGCACCTCAGTACCTGTCTGAGTCACTATCGTCCTACAGTACTTCCCACCTTGCAACCTTTGCTCATCTAATTCTGGTCTCCTGTCTCTCCCCCAAGACCATCTACACTGTATGGGTGACAGGGCCTTCTCGTGCTGCACCCCAAACTCTGGAATACCATTCCCGAGGATATCCGAGAGTTGCCTTCCCTGAGCCCTTTCAAACCTTGATTCAAAACCTTTGTTAGAAGGGTGTTTATTTAATACCACAGTGTCCTGTGCAGTGACCTGTCATGACCAGTTTACAGGCACTTTACACCCAACGGAGGCTCTGAGTGAACCTCTTCTTCCTCCACCTCCATCCCTCTCAACTCTGTGTGACCTGATCATGCACTCTGTGTGAACCTGCTTGCTAATGTTGAAGTCATAGGAACTTCGACTAGACTTTGGCAAAAGTACATTTTGGAACGACAACAAGAGAAGGAAGAGCTTTTCAAAAGCGAGTCAACAAAACATAAGCAAACAAAAAAGAAGGAAAAATGAGACCAAGACGCCTTGAAGAACATTTAAAACAGTGTAACGCGCCAACTGTTGGCCATAATCTTGCAGCTAACAAACTGTCAGGGTTTCTGAAAGGG